ATAAAATTTAAGATTAGTATTAAGTAGTTGAATACACACACACACACACACCACACACTTTTTCCCCTTTGGGAATTTTTTTACCGGCACCCTCTCAAACTCTTAGAATTCTCTAAAAAGCAAATAACTACCATGACTTTTTTTTTCTTGACACCTTTATTTACATAAATAATATACAACATCAGAGGCAAATTCTGCTGTTCTTCTTAATGTGTAGTTGATAAGCAATAAAAGCCATCAATATGGCTAGGTCAGGTTGAGTTACTGGATTTCTGCCCAAGCCTAAAAAGGTAACCTTAAGGAATACAAAATTTCTCTCAATTTCTTCATATTGGGAAAATATTGTCACCAGCTAAGATGATAAATTGGAAAACAGTCTTGTTAAAGTGAAAAAGGTCCATTATGATGGATCATTATTTCAAAAAAAGAAGAAAAAAATCATGTGAAAAGGAATAGTGGTTCCTCTTGATGTATAGTATGCCTGTATTATAGTTTTTACAAAATTGTGAACTTGTGTAATAGTAAAATAGGAGATATTGTTGAATTTCTAACTGTTTATACATTTAAATTCATATATGTAATGTTTGTTTTATTGATTACAATCTGAATTTCTAAGAAGCATGTTGACTTTTGCAATAAAGATGCAATATGGAATGGTTCACAATTGGGAAAAAAAGAAAAAAAATGAAAGTATTACAAATTTAAGAATTCAGAAAATTTATGAACCATTCCAAAAATTATAACAATCACCAAAAAAAAGAAAGACAACATTTGACCTTTGAGTTTCTGAGTTTGGCTTATTTCACTTAGCATGAGATTTTGCATTTCTATTCATTTATTAGCAAATACCATAATTTCATTCTTTTTAGGGCTGAGTAGAATATCATTATATATTCTATATATACACACCCATATATACACATATATGTGTATGTGTATATATGTACATATATACACATATATAAAATGTGTGTGTGTGTGTGTGTGTGTGTGTATATATATATATATATACACACACACACACACACACACACACACATATATATACAAATTCTTAATCCATTCATCTATTGATGGGCATCTGGGTTATTCCATAATTTAGCTATTATGAATTGTGCCACTATAAACATGTAGATGCCTGTATTGCTATAGTATGACAATTCTAGATCTTTTGGGAAAATACCAAGAAGTGGGATTGCTGGGTCATATGGTGGTTCCATTCTTGGATACTTTGAGGAATATCCATACTGCTTTCCAGAGTGGTTGTACTAGTCTACAGTCCCACCCACAATGTACAAGCATACCTATTTCCTCACAACCTCACCCACGTTTGTTGTTCATATTCTTGGTCATTGCTATTCTGACTGGAGTGAGATGAAATCAATGTAGTTTTGACTTACATTTCCCTGATTGCTAGGGATATTGAACATTTTTTAATGTATATGTTGGTCTTTGGTGCTGCTTTTCAGAAATGTCTGTTTAGCTCCACATCATGTACAACCACAACAATGGGATCCTAATTAGAATAAGTTATACTCTATGTATGTATAACAGGTCAAAATACACTCTACTGTCATGTGTATCTAAAAAGAACAAAGAAAAATATGTCTGTTTAGTTCTTTTGCCTATTTATCAATTGTGTTGTTGGATTTTCATTATTGTTTTTATTTGTTTTGAGGATTTTTTGGTGTTAAACTTTTTGAGTTCTTTATATATTCTAGATATTAGTCCCCTGTCAGAGGAATAGCTGGCAAAAATTTCTCTTTTAGCCTCTCTCTTCATGCTCATTATCATTTCCTCTCCTGTGCAGAAGCTTTTTAATTTGATGATGTCTCACTTACTGGTTCTTGGTTTTATGTCTTATATTTCACGGTTTTGTTAAGCAAGTTGGTGCCTGCACCAATATGTTGAAGTATTGACCCTATGTTTTCTTCTAGCAGTTGCAAAGTTTCTGATTTTACTTCTAAGTCCTTGATCCACTTTGATGTGATTATTATGCAGGGTGAGAAATAGAGATCTAGTTTCATTTTTCTATATGAGGATATCCAGTATCCCCAGTACCATTTGTTTAAAAAAGCTATCTTGCCAGGCTGGGTGGTACATGCCTGTAATCCCAGCAGCTCGGGAGGTTGAGGAAGTAGGATTGCCAGCTCAAAGCCAGTCTTAGAAATTTAGCAAGGCCCTAAGTAACTCAGTGTGACCCTGTCTCTAAATATTTTAAAAGGGCTGGGGAGGTTGCTCAGTGTTTAAACACCTCTAGATTTAATCCCCAGTACAAAAGAAAAGGATGGGGCTTATATTTTCTCTAACATATATTTCTGGCATCTTTGTCAAATGACTTTGTCAGATGACTCCATGTGAGTTGTCTTTGTGTCTTCTATTCTGTTCCATTGGTCTTTGTGTCTATTTTGATGTCACTACCATGCTATTCCCATAGCTCTGTAGTGTGACTCGAGATCAGGTATTGTGATGTACCCAGCATCACTCTTCTTGCTCAAGGCCATTTGTCATCTGATTACAGTAAGGCTAAACATTTTTCTGTTCTCCCCTACTCTAGACTTTTTGGCCATTTACTCTTGAAATTTGATTGGTCAATGCCTCTTGTCCATTTCCTTTCTGTTGTATTGTTTTCTTATTGATTTATAAACTTCATATACCAAATGTCAATCATTTGTCACATTGTTGAAGATTTTTTCCAAATTTGTTGTCTGCCTTTTTGTTTCCTATTTATACTTTAAGCTTTCATTTGGTCAAATCTATCTTTTTCTATCTGTGTTCAATAATATATTTTAAACTCCTTTTCTATTTCATCATTATCTAATTATCTACTTATTTTATTCATATTCCTTCACATGGTTTAATTTTTTAAACTAAACTCCTTAATCTATTGGCATTTCTGTTGGTTTATAGCATAAAACAGTCTTTGGAGTAGAAGGAATCTAATTTACTTTTACAAATAACTAACCATTACTAATTGATTAAAAATTCTATACACATGAATTTTAAAACTTAATTGATTATACACTAAAGATTCAAATTTAAACTATAGTCTACTAACTGTATATTTTTGTATATATACCATATTATTTCTATTATCATAGGTTGACAACACATTTAGATATCAGTCTCACTTCTATTTAATCTGTCTAGTAAGTTAGTTGATTATCAGATAAATTTTATCGGCTTTTGAGTTATAATTTTATTAAACCTAGACACTGAGGATTTGAATAGAATATTTTTCTTCTTTATCTTTTCTAACATCTAACAGCTCAATACTAATTTATTTTTTTTTTAATTTTTTTTTATTTTTTTTTCTATTTTTACTGTTTATTTTAATTTTTTTTCTTTTTTTTTAATTTTTTATTGTTGGTTGTTCAAAACATTACAAATTCCTTGACATATCATATTCCACACTTTGATTCAAGTGGGTTATGAACTCCCACCTTCACCCCATACACAGATTGCAGAATCACATCAGTTACACATCCATTGATTTACATATTGCCATACTAGTGTCTGTTGTGCTCCGCTGCCTTTCCCATCCTCCACCCTCCCCCCTCCCCACCTCTCCCCTCCCCTCCCCTCCCCTCTCTCTACCCCCTCCACTGTATAACCCTGAGGGTCTCCTTCCATTTCCATGCAATTTCCCTTCTCTCTCCCTTTCCCTCCCACCTCTCATCCCTGTTAAATGTTAATCTTCTTCTCCTGCTCAATACTAATTTTTTAAAAACAGAAATTACTCTTTGTTCTTTTCCATTTTTCCCAGATGATTGTTTAATGCAACAAGCAAACAAACTAATCTTCACATCTGCCTTTACCTGGGTTTCTTATTTGCATTGGCTATTCAGAACAATGTGAAATTATAGTGAAAATAACAAGAATTCTTAATTTCTTTGTACTTTCCACAGTAATACCTCTAGCATTCCCTAAAACAATGTTGACCCTAAGGACTAGACTATTTGATTTACTGAGTTCTTATATTCCAGGTGTGGAACTTGACTTTTATCCTCTTTCAGCACCTATAGATATTTCTTCTTCTTTGACTTTGCAATATGTTGAATTTCATCAATATATTTCTTAATATTAAGCCTGGAAAGAACATTATTGACCATTTTATGGTTTCAATAGACCACTGGAAAGTACTTTAATTAAGCTTGTAGTAGCTACATTCATGAATAAGTGTGGTCATTGGCAGATGTTGGTTCTGAGGCCACACAGGCCTGTAAAATGACTGAGAAGACTTCTGTCTTCTTTCAAAATAATACTTTATGTAGCATGAGGATGATCTGGTTCTTGGAAGTTTGAAAGAACAAGCAGTGCCTTCTTTGGAAATAATCTTTGACATATTTTTCAAATTATTTCATGGACATTATGCTTTCAGCTTTTCAGTTTCTTCCTAGAGCAAGTTTTGGGATTTCTCTTTGTCAAGGAAACTCTTTAATTGGAACTGTCCAAGTTATAAACATGGATTTATACATATTTTCCTCATATTTTTAAATTTGACATATCTAAGATAACAGATTGTCCCATTCTTAAATCTGCACAATATCAAAAATATTGTATTGGTGTCTTTTTAATCATTTTAAAGTTTTTGATTTATTTATCAATTTTGCTTTTCAATTAATTTATTTCTATTTCTTTGGACATCCTAGCACTGTAACAGAAGGAATGCTTTATTCTTTTGCATTTTAAACCCCAAAATAAATGCCATAATACATTACTTTCTCCTTTTTATAAAAAAATAAATCTTCAACGCCATATGTTCCTGGTCATGGTTTATAATTATGTATTTATTGGTGTGACCAATGTCTTCACCATTAGACTACATATTCCAAGACAGAAATCATGTGTATGCTTACTGCTGGACAGACAAGGTCTGCAACAACTTTTTGTTGAAAGAGTAACAGAAAATATAAACAGAATGAAGGACACAGTCTAGCCCTTCACCCTTGTCTTCGGGCCACTGTTTGCAAGGTCCCATTGAGCCCCAGGCCACTTACCAGCCCCAAGAGCAGCTTCTGGTGGTTGTCCTCCTCCTGCAAGAGGAGTGTTAATCTTGGCTCTGAAATTAAACAGAGCAGGAGTCAAGCAGGGTAATTTCCGAACATGGAACAGAAGGAAGAAGAGTCAGCCCAAGTTTCCCTTCTCTGAGTTACAGGGAAACATAACACTTCCACAATAAAGTGGACATTTTTTAATAGCTAAGTGTGACCCCGTCCTACCAGCTGAACCTATCACTCAGGTGACACCCAGAGAGCTCTGTCAAACAGAGAGAACAACTGAGCAGAAAGCAAGCAAAGGAACGCATTGCCCAGCACCAGTAGATTCTGGCTTTGATTTCTCTTTAACACTAAAACTCACCACTAGAACCTCTACTTCCTAGAGACAGGGACGAGGGCCCTCTTAACCCTATGGTAGCCAAAAGCTGAGGGACAGTGGGGCTTGATAGAAGGACTACATGACTGTCTTCTATTCTCTGACCCCTATACACCTTGACTTGGAGTTACTGAGCTGGGGGAACCAGTTACTGTGGCCAACAATACTAATTGATACAAGTTCTCACTCTGAAAAGTTACCAAGATGGAAAAGTGATATAAATGTTACATTAAAATGACACTTTCTCCACCATAATGGATACTGCACTAGCAAGACCAGAGAGGCAGACAAACAGTCTTGCTGGAAGATCTGCCCTAATGCTCCCTAACAAGCCTCCTGTTTGGTTCTTCCACTCCCAGAACACCTGAGGCCCAGTGCCGGGCAAGAGGGCAGAACTATCCTGCTCAGCCTGCTGACAATTCCTCCTTGACCCCTCAGGAAAGAGCCTACCTCTGTCCCACATAACCTTCATGATTAAAATGAAGCAACCCAAAACATGAGCTCAACAGCCCTGAATTTCAGTTTTCCATGCAGACAGTGGCAGCATTCTTAGTGGGAAACTAGCACGATCAAGCACAGGGAGAAACGGGAAGTTTACCAATAGGCATTGAGAGGCTAACTGGAAACAGGATGCCTGAGCAGGAGAGCAGGAGGAGCTCCATAAAAGCAGGGCAGGGAAATGGACACAATGAAAACCCTGCTGGTCAGCAGTTTCCATATTGCAATACCCCCAGCAATGCAAGGATGGCGAGCCTGGATCACATGCTCGCCCCTGTCTGGCAAGGCAGAGCCCCTGGTTTCAAGCACGGATGGCCTGGTAATAGGCAGAGGCTGGTTCCCTTGGGACAAATTCACCACCATAGTTCAGCGGGCTGTGTGCACAGCTGTGGGGTATGCAGTCACATAAATAATTTCTGTTACAGTCCCCCCAACATACACCTAAAACATTCAAAGTCCATTAAACAGGAGTAGGATATAAAAACAACAGCTTCTTTAATGAATGCTGACCTTCATGAGACGTGAAAGTATTCCCCTGACACCTACAAAAAAAGGATTGTACCTGGGTATTCTCGGCATTCCCCTCCCTTAAATCCCCTTGTTTGTCAAGAGAAAACCCAGTTATCACCTCTGGGAAGCCTCTTCCAGCCATTCCCACTCCCGTCTTCGCCTAGACTAACCCCTTGCATGTAGGGGCTTCAGAATACTGGTTACTTGGTTTAGAAGCGATTTGTTAGCATTTCCTCCTAACTAATGATAAAGCAGCCACTAAAGGCACTTCACAGGCACCAACGCCCATACTAGGTGCTGGGTGTCACCCTCATTTCTCCCTGACCTGAGGAGGACAATGCAGGAAATGCACCCCCAGCACCTCACCTCAGTGCTGTTGCTCAAGTTTTAACCAAAATGAAAGGTGCATACAAGTCAAAGACCCTGTGTGATCAGACAGCTGGAGGGAAAAGCAGCGGGAGCCAAGAAAATTACCAGAGTGCATCCTGGGGTACAGCCAGAGGGCATGTTAATTTGCTCAGCTAGGAGGAGAAACAATGAAAACCAGAGGGTCAACTCCCAGGGACTCCTCCAGCAAAAGCACATTCAGCAGCTGTCCCTGGATTTCCTGGTGCCAAGACAGACATGGAAACAGCTACGTGGTCACTTTAATGAGGCAACATTAAAGGGCGCAGCCTTCATGACACTACTGGAAGTGATTTTCCTGCCAATCCACAGAGGTGGGACAAGAACAGTGTTACATACAAAACACAGAAACCCAGACAACTGTATTACAAATCTTGTCTTACCCGAATTCCTTGCTTCTATGTTAGAAATCACCCTACAAAGAAATTAGCTGTGTTATTCACATAGGAAGCATTATTAAAAAAAAAAAAAAAAATTAAAGCCACAACACCATACAAAGCTATCCTCCTTTACTAAACCATAAAACCACTGCAGAAACTGTTCTCAGGCCACTAGAAACCTCAAAAACTTTTCAATGTAGCAAAAAACCACATTTAGGCAATTATAAAGTCTGTAAACCTTTTAGTGCCAACAACGGCAATAATTTAGAACAATTGCAGCTCTCAGTTATTAGAAATAATGGAGGTAGAAAATAGAACAGAGGTTGGAACAGGGCCTATACTTTTAGCTCTCAGATGACTCATCTACCCAGAAAATATGGCTTCAAAATAAGAGCAAGCTCACCAGCCCACTAACAGTTTAAAACAAAACAAAACAAAATCTCCTGGCTACTCTTGTCCTCATAAGCGCTCACTTAGTAATGGCTGTTTACCACTTAGCCACTATACGTCATCCAGGGTATAAGTCTTTGAGGTTTAACACACAAGCTTTTCCCACTGAACTCCAGCACCAACTCCAGAAGAGAGCCTAGGCAGGTGCACTCATGAAGCCAACAGCTTTACTGAACATATACAACAAAAGCAAGCTGTTTCTGTGAAAGGCGGCCAGCAAGGTAAGATGCCATCTTTAGTTCTACTTACCTTTTTGCACTATCAAGAATGTTCCTCATGTATGCTGTGGACCTTCTTTTTCCCGTTTTCTAGGAGTAAAAACATGTCAGAAGTATAGAAGGTAAAGCTTGTGTGGGTGGCCTTATTTATTTTTTATTTTTTTAAATAACTTTATTTTTTATGTGGTGCTGAGGATCAAACCCAGTGCCTCACACATACTAGGCAAGCGCTCTACCACTGAGCCACAACCCCAGCCCGACTTTACTTATTTTTTTCATCAAGGACATACTACACTCTGGTTAAAAGATTCAGAAAGAAGAAATATACTTTCCAGGTAATCAGAACACCAAGACTTCCCCGCTGCCACTCCAATGCTGGGGATGGAACCTAGGGCGTTCCACATGCTAGGCAAGCATTCTACCACTGAGCTATACCCTATTCCAGTATAGATTTTTTTAAAAAATTCTTTTAATGTTTTACTTAGAAACAAGAGACTCACAGGAAGTTGCAAGCCAGCTATGTATAACAACACTAGACTATATACCACAATACTCAGAGAGATTCTGGGTACCCTTCAGTTAGTCTCCCCCAATATTTACATCTTATATAATTATACTACAATCTCAAAATCAGGAATCAACACTGGCTCAATGTGTGTGCATAGTTCTATGTCATTTTATCAGAAATCATTTCATGTCCCAAAATGTAATTGATACACAGAACTATTCCATCACCCCTAAAGATCTCCCTTGTGCACACCCACTCTTCTCCTTCTCAACTCTAGCAACCACTAATTTGGAAACATCTAGATTTTTTTAGTGGGGGGGCAGGGTATGGGGGATTGAACTCAAGGGCACTTGACCACTGAGCCACATCCCCAGCCCTATTTTGTATTTTATTTAGAGACAGGGTCTCACTGAGTTGCTTAGCACCTCACTTCTGCTAAGGCTGGCTTTAAACTCGTGATCCTCCTGCCTCAGCCTCCTGGGCTGCTGAACATCTAGATTTTTATAAATCAACTTTTAACTTTATAAGTACTTCAAGAACATATCTGAGATATGGTTATCAGTCACAATTCTCTGAATACACTGTACATCCCGTAACCCATCTGTACTGTGGTTTCTTAAAGAACAGAGATCACAGAAGTGCCTCGGCTTGCTTATCAGGAGATCAGTGATGACATTAAACAGCTTGGCAACTGTGAAGAGAACCATCAACGTCAAGTGACCTTGTGATCTAATCCACGTGTGTTGGCTGCTTGCTTTGTTCTCCTTGACGCATACATACCTCTTCAGAGATCAGGTTGTGCCACTCTCTCTTGACCACACTGTTGTTATAACATAAGTATGGCTTGGCATACTTAACATAGTCTAGGTTGGAGTTCAGTTTTTCCCAATAGCCCTTAAAGCTGTGGACCTGTGGGAGATAAAACCATCAGCCAGTTTGAGAAACAAGCCTTGCAGCTCAAAACACCCACCAAGGATTACACAAGGCTCACTTCCCCAGCTCTTGGTGACAGTATTTCTTAGTGAATGTTTCACAGGAAGGACAGCAGTCTGGTCCCCACAGGAATCCTAAAGCAGATCTAAAGATCTGGCCTTTAGACTCTATCCCCTTTCCAACAGAGAGAACTGCTGCTGACTTCCCAAAACAGATTTCTCTGGGTTGATTTAGTGGGGAAGCCTGTACTCAACACAGCAAGCCATTTCCTCCCTAGAGACCCATTTTATGACTTGGGTGGTGTCAAAAGTGCTGTGTTCAGAGAATGTACACAAAATTTGGAGCAAGCAGAGTAAGCTTACTTTCCCAAGTTTATTTAATTACCAAATGCTGCCCATCACAACTATTAAGGAAAAGTACAGATGGTTACATGAAAGGACTGTTTCCCACTTATGATTTGGATTGCCAACTGATCCAAATAAAAAAAGAATTTTTTAAAAAGGATAAAATGAACAAATTTCACATTCAGTTGTCAAATACTCTCAAACAGAATTAACTGATTTTCTAAAGTCTTTGAGTTATTATTAATCATACTATCCTGAACAAAGAATGTGTATTTATTTTTATCAATAAAATGCAATGCTTACACCTTTACTGTTGGAGGATACTGACACAAATTGCTTTAACCCAAGGAAGATGGATTTATGACACATTCCTTCTTGCCAAAAATGTACATTTATAAAAGATTTGATGCAGCCAAGGATGACATGTGTGACCGTTCAATGCTCTGTTGCCTACTGTGGTGGTAGACTTGGCTGAATTGCGAGAAAATAAGGGAATTTAAATAAACTACACCTCAGTCAAGAAAGGTACTCGAATGTTAAGTAACAGCATGTCATCTGAATTTTTATTGAAAGGACGGTCATAGTTGGTTTGAAATGGATTTTGAAGTATCTGTAAGATGATTTACATAACATTTTAAATCTTGTTTTAGAAGCCTGAAATGCCCATTTAGTCAATGTCTCTTCTCTCAGAGACAGAAAAAAAAAATCTTTAATCAGTGTAGCAAAAGCCACATTAGACAATAACAAAATCTCAAAACCAAAACTAAGGAAACATTTATTCCTGGGGGGAATGGGAACACAAAGTCAAGGCTGACTCCTCACTTGACCCACCTTGCTCGCCTTTTATTTATTTATAACAAATGTGCCTTTGTCCATCCTTTGTTTCTTCTCAGTATTGAAAAAATACGTAGGACAAATCCTACAGGCCTTTGGCAGGATGAAGTGCCTAACTGGAGGTCTTTGTGTCTTTGTTGCTTCCTACATCTAGACTCAGGCACACTGATGCTAAAAGCAGAAACCTTGATGGTGTTGTGGTGACACCTAGTGGTCACTTGGGCTACTAAGCCTGCCTGCTTTGCCACCAGTCCCATGATGGCATTCATTCAGACCTTGCCCAGAAGGGAGGCAAGACATTTGGTGTCTTCTACCTGTTTTCTGGCCTCATCCCCTCAGGCCAAATGCTGTCCTGCTGTCAGAAGACCCTACTCACACTCCCCCTTACCTTCCTTCTCATACCATTAAAAAAAATTCCTTTCCTCAGAATCTGTGTCACCCAAGAATAAACTAATGAAACAATTCTGGACAAGTCCATGGATAGGCTGCAAAGCAACTGAGTACCCACTGGTTGTGTGTAAAAATGGAGTCCGAGTGCTTGAATGAACACTCTTCTGGGGAGAGAGTCTATACCTTGTACCATATCTCAAAGAAATCCATGGCCTAAAATGTCCAAAACCTCGGAGTTAAAAGGAAAGGGATCTGAATTTAAAACGAAAATTAAAATTCACATGTAAGTAAGAAATACTGATAGCCAAAAGGCCCAGAAATATTTTCATGTGGAACTTCTGATCTTTCAGAGATGTCACTGCTCTATTATAATAACTACAATGTCTTACAGAAATTAAGAGAATACAAAGAAAAAAAAAAGAATCAATACATATGCCACTGTTTGGTATCTAATAAGTAAATGATACAATTTCTTTTAAGTTATAAAAATGTGGAGATCACTGAATTGAAAGACAGTACCTAGTCCTGTAACAATGGCAATAGTTCAAGAAGCACATCACCAACTACATGAAAAGAGCGCTTACTGTTTTAAAACACACAGAAATGCTTTATATGGAAAATACCTATGAATTTAGCTCCTCTGGGAAGACTGGTACTAGAAGCAATGAGATTCTCAAGAAATGACCCAGGAGCACTTTCCTGCACAAAAGGGAACATTAACTTTTGATTTGAAAAACAGGGAAATTATTCCAAGTCTCTTCTTCAGAAATAATCTCATTTGTTCTCATAAGATGACTTGAAACGATTACCAAATGCAGCCCATCACAACTATTAATTAATCAAAAGCACCCATGTGTTATATTAACAACTGTTTCCCATTTTTAATTTGAATTGCCAACAGATCCAAAAAAATTAAAATAAAAATAAAACAAAACAAAAAAGCCCCATGGTACTGGCTCATCTGCAAACTACTGTCAGGAATAAACATCTGCCTTTGATTTTTACAAGGTCCCCTGGCTTTGATCCTACTTCTGCTGATTCTTAGCACAAGTCTTAGCGGAGGTGGCCAACTCAGAGAGAACGCTTCCCTCTGTGCCAGGACTCAACTAGCAGAGCTAAAGTGCCAGACCAATTTGGCTCTTCAGTGGATCTCATCTCAGAATCAGCTTTTAGTTACAGCCAGAGAAACAACAGCAACCCACCACCTCCAGCATAGACAGAATCAAAGGCAGAGAAATGTCTATAGGGACGTAAATTAGTAAGAGACCATACTAAACTAAGGTACTTTAAACAGGCACAAATAACTAGAACTCCTGAGGCTGCCCACTGAGAGAACTGCAAGTTCAAGGTCTCCTTCTCCTTTGGGACTTCCTCCTTCTCCAGTATCTAACAAAAAAATTCCACTTCCTTGCCCAGCTGGGTGGTTTAGCCATTTTTTTAATGGGCTAGATTTTTCTTTAATGCAATCACTAAATATGGCTCTAAACTATTCCATCTTACATTTGGCTCTCTCAGAGCATATCCCCTGAGAAAGCCTTCCTCTTGACCTTAAAAATTAAGGCTGACACAAGAGGAACAAAAACAAGATTCCTTGATCCACAGTCTGTTCCTGAATTTTATCAGCAAAGAATTAGTCTGACTATATCCCCATCTCCCAGAAATGATAGGAATGAGGTCACCAACCAGAGGCTCTGTTTCCAAAAAGTAATGTTTTTTGTAGCATCATAAAATTATGGTTTATGATATTAACTGAATTCACTACAACTCATTGTCCCAGAAAAAATGTGTGGACTGAACTGTGGGGGGAAAAAAAAAATCAGTGTTTCCCATGTGACCACCTGACACTTCTGACGATACTACCTTTTGCAATGATTCTAATTTTTAAAAATTGTGAAAGATTGCATTGTGATTATGCTGCTACTTGGGATCACTTAACAAATCTTTAAGGGATGCTATCTGTCTGAATTTTGGAGGGTCAAGGAAAATAAAGTGTGCTTCACTAAGCAATTAATTATTCTCTTGTTCTGTCTAGTTAAAACAGCTTTTAAACTGTTTCAGTTTTCACTTTTTAAGTGAAGAAACACACAAACAACCTTCTGGATGGAGAACAACCAGTCTTCCCAGTTGCTCAGGAACTATAGACCCCTGATTGACACTTGCAGTAACCCCCCTCACCTCTGAGTGGCCATAGGTCAGAAGGCCCTTTAAATCTCTCTGGTCTTCCCAATTTCTGGGTCAGGTAGCCAGTAATCTCTACAAGTGATCAAATACATTAAAAGTGTCCAATTTAAAAAATATATATATTTTGGTAAAAATACCCCATATCTCCATTTGTAGCACATTCTTTTTATATTTGAGTAAGCTATTGTTCTGTTTTTAAAATCATTACATGCTTCCTGTGGTTGACTAATTTTAATGGTTTCTCTTTTTACCATAAAATCAAGGGCAGTTTTTAGCTTTTTATGAATGTCGCTAGTTCCCTAGAGCAGTCCACAGCTTACAAAAGGATGAAATCGTTCTTAGGAAAGTCTCTCTTGGTTACATTTTATTTACAGCATGGACCTTGCTTAATATTTTACAAACCATTTATAAAATGAGAGAATCTTGTCTTTCGGATGACAATCTTCTAGTTTAACTGGTTTATCTTCTACAATGTGGAAATACATAAACTGGTGACTTATAAACTGCAGACATTCACTTCTCACAGTTCTTGAGACTAGGGGATCCACATATCAAGGCGTTGGCAGATCTGGTGTCTGATGAGTGGTCCTGTCCTAGTCAGCTGTGTTTCCACTGCAAAAATCATACGGCAGAAGGAACAAGCTAGCTCCTCAGTGTCTCTTTTAACAGGGTACTAACCTCAATCCTGAGGACACTTCCCTCAGACTTAATCACCTCCTAAAGGTTCAACCTCCTAAAACCAGGGCCTTTGTGGATGAGGACTTTAACATAGGAATTCAGAGGGTCACAAACATTTAGACCATACCAACATATTAAAATATTTGTAAAGTACTCTACTTCTCACTAAATTTACTTGCAAAAGGAGCAGGAGGAAAATACACATCTAGTTTCCCTTAGCCCTTTCCTCCTTTGACCCTTTACACCAAGGAAAGTAGAAATGCAGTCAGTTGAACAAAATAGGGCCCTTGGGCTTCACTGGGCTTCTGGTGTAAGAACCTATCCCAAAGCTAACTTGTGATTCAGGTCATGGCATTCAGAGCCAACTCCTACCAGGTAGCCAGGGCAAGAATGGACACAGACTGGGGCTGGAGAGGCAGGGGCGAGGACAGCAGGTGCCACGGCCACAGTCCATCACAGTGTAATTAAGCTGAGACCGGGGTAGGTAAAAGTAGGTCAAAGATAAAAGCAGCAGCTACAGTGAGTGGCATTATGCAAATACAGAGGGAGAAGAAATGGGAGCCCTCAGGGCCAGGCCTTCCTTGAACCTAAAGGTACTGATTAGCCTTGCACACTAATAACTGGGGTGGGAGTGGAGGCAGCTAGTCACACCAAAGCCACTTCATCATCTCCTGAACCCAGTGAAGTCCCAACAGTGTACCTCTGATGGATTATGTCTGGTAAGAAGGGTGGTAACAGACCTACAGTTCTTCAAACTTTTCCCAGGAAACTTCTAGCTTATGAATAAACCAAAGAGCTCCCAAGCATCTGTGGGAATGTCCAATGAGAAACCACTCTCTGCAGACTCAAATGCTAAAGATGATGGGCGAAAGAAGAAAAAAGGAGAGAGAGGAATGTCAATGGAGGAAAAAACAGAACACAAAAATCATTTTATACACTCACACAGAAATCTGCTAGAGTGTGTAAAAATAAGTTACTCTGTTTCTAAGCAAAGTCAAATATTATTCTTAGAACAAGCCAATGAAGGGATGGGGATGTGGCTCATTGGTGGAGTGCTTGCCTAGCACACACAGGGCCCTGAGTTCAATCCCCAACTCTGCTGGAGGGGTGGGGGGTGTGGAATAAGACAATGAGTAAAAAATCTTAAGAGGACCTTCCCATTACTCTTTTCTACTTAGTTTAAATGAATATGCACAATGTCGATAAGGTTACTATCCAACTGATAAATTCACAAATCCTTTGTGATGGTGTAAATTATTACAATTTTTGTTGAATATTAATTTGCCAATAAGAATCAAAAACTATAAAAATTATCATAGTCTTTTACCCAATGAGAGTCCTGGCATTTAATTTTAGGGGAGTAAATTAAAAATGAATTAAGACATTAGAAATCATAAGTTTATGTAGTAATGTGAAAAATGTTTATGATATGTGATAATCCGCTGTGTTTATCAAATGTCTCTGGGTTACCATTACTACCAGGTATAATAAGTATGCCTAAGGCAAAGGCCAAGAGGAAATGAGGGGCTGGCAACAGTTGATATGCTAGAAATCGTAGAATTGTGGGTGACACCTTTTTTCCTCTAAAAATTTTCTTCACTAATTTGTACGTTAAACACCGTATGGGTTTGGTAAGACAACTGGTAAAGATAGAAACAAAGAAATAAAAGGATGGCGTCTCTTAACACACCTTTCAAAACTATTCATGAAATCTTTCTTTCCCTTCATCTTCCTACATTAGTAGGACTTCACAGTCATCCTACGCTTCCACCTAGAGACAGCTGGTCATTCTCTCTTTCAGGGACTCTTTTTAGAACCAAAACCTGGAACCACTGAACCAGCTCCGGTCTGCTCTCTCTTGCCATTAGTGCATCACTAGACCCTCAGACCCACAGCTGCAGGGACCTGGCCTGCCCCTCATGGATCCAAAAGAGTCAAATGTAAATAAAAGGCAGCAGCCCACTGAGCTGCCTGCTGCCAAAAAGCTGAGATTTCCCAGTCCAAACCAAGCTATAATTACCAGGAGGCAATGCCAGGAACAACAGAGGAACTTTAAGGAAACTATTAAAAGACTCCCCAGTTTTAAACTACATACATATTCTTTTCTACTCACACCAGCCGCTCCTCCCATTTTACTCTGATATCACCACAAAGACACTAATAGTCACAGTTCAGTGCACAGGAAGGAGGTATGCAGAGCTTGACTGAGCCCTGCAGATCAATGCAAAGGCCATAGATAATCCCAGCCCAGGTCATTTAATGATTCTAAGATGGAGAACTGTGTGCGTGCATTTTGGAGTGACCATGAAAGAAATAAAAAACAGTTCCCTGGTTCTCTGAAGATAATTTACAGGAACTCCAGTAAGAACCGGTTTGAGGTACTATGGCAAGTATTAGTTGTATATGGTTTAAGCTGAACCCTGTAATTCTCTCCTATCTTCAGAAAACTGCTCTCTCAAAGAGCATTCCTAAGAGGTGTGTAACATCATACTCAATGACTACTCAACCTCTATGGAAGGATTCTCCAGGGAACCAAACCTGCCCCTTTCCCCCCACCCCCGCACCGTCCTCCCCTGCCATGATGCAGTCCCTTTTAGAACCACCATTACTGGGGGCAGCAAAGGTTCAGTCATGCACATCTGTGTTTTCATCCCTCAGCGGAAGTGCCTTACCTTCATGAGAGGCAATTCAATCTCTTCCGTCACAAGGGTTATTCCAGGAATTTCCTATGGAGGAAAAACACACACAAAAAAAAAAAAAAAAAAGAAAAAAAAATCCTGCTCAACATATCAACTGCTACAAACTCAAGTCATCAGGAAGTGTTTTCTGCACAGACAGCAGCTGAGAAAAGCTTCCAGTTTGTGAACCTCTACTTTAAATAAAGTCTGGGGTATATAAATAGCAAACATGGTCTATTGCTTACCTTAAAAAGAGGGAAAAAAAATTTTTTTTTTTTTGAGACTGTAGCTCACCGCATGCCCAAGCTGGTTTTCAAGTCACCTTATGAGTAGCTGAGCCACAAGGGCATGCTGCTGTACCTGGCTGAAATATTGTTTAATCACTAATTGACAGGGTCTCTAAAGAAACAAATCACTATGAAATAATAGAGCAAATATATTTTTTTACATATTTCTATTTAAGAACAAATCAGGTGAATTATATTTACACCATCAAATGTAAATTATATTTACACCATCAAAAGGGAAATGTTCCATAATTTGCACTTTCTTCCCTTTTCTTCTCTTTCATTTATGTGTATTATAGTTGGCCCCTGCCTCAGAGAAGGAACAAAAATTAATAGAATTCTAACATTCAGATGGAAAATGTTTGTGCACCTCATTATCCACCATGATTCCAGAGATAAGAATTCCCCATAAAAAATTTCTAGAGTACCATGGTCAGGCTCAAAGGTAAGCAATTCATACCAGAAAGTTCAAATGACAACCTTCTGCTGATCAGTGAGCATTAAAACAGATACTGAAAGAATGAATATCAAAAATTGCCCTTTATTCATTGTTATTTTGAAAAACGATGTCTCTGTGGTAGCTGTGTAATTAGCCTCTCATCTTGTCATTTCAGATTCCCGTAAGAGACAGTTTAGGAGGTGCTATGTAAAAATAGGAATTGGTCTTTGGTTAGGGCTTAAGTGACCTGGATTTGACTAACATATAACATCCTATGAAAAAAGCATCACAGCAATAGAGAAATTTTTCAGAACATTTCAACAACTGAGGTCTCCATACAGCAGCATGAAGCCTGTGGTAAGATGTATTGTGAGCTTCATCCATCACTACTCAACCACAGAGGATACATAAAAACAACATTAAAATTGCCATTCTAGGCTATGAATAGCACTTAAAATAGGTACAACAATAGCATTTTAAAATAGGTCTAATTATTTGCAAAGCACAATTCAAGATTATCTATGTGTAGGAGTACCATATTTTCTAGTATCTTAAAAATATATATTGTCAGTTGTTCAATTCAGAAGCTTGAAATTAATATTTTTCTACTGTGGCAAGTTTTTTTATTAAGGTTGTAGCATTAAGAACATTTGCAAAGATGACCTGAAGTGGGACTATTAACGATTAGGAAGGGGCCAGGGGAGGAAACAGAATAAAAGGGAAGGTGAATCTGACCAATGCTGATCAATACATAGATAGGAGAATACAGGAAAACCTGCTAATTTGTACAATTAAGACATGTTAATTTGAAAAAAGAACATTTGCTAGTCAGAGAAGGGGACAGTAAATTGTTTACATCATTGCTAAAGATAAGCATAAATTCATAGAACTTCATGATGAGAAGAGACCTTTAAGATAATCTACTCCAACCACAAGAAGTTTTAAAGCAACATGGTAAACCCCAAAATAAGCCTGGTACATGTAGGTGATAACTGGTGGTTTCTTTACATTGTTGTTCAATGTGGGACTTCCTGATGTCACTCTGCATATGTTCACAATGCCCTCTGTGTCCCATAGACTGTTAAGAAATGCAGAAGTAAAGTATGTCTCTTCAGAATGGCATCCCCACACAAAGTTTGTGCTCTGTCTTTCAGTACAATGCTGGGAACAGTGGTCCCAGCCCTGCCTTCTGAACACTTTGAACACAGGACATAAAAGCAGTGGGTGAAAAGGGAGGGGAGCTGCTGTGTGCATTTCCTGACCTCAGAGTGTTGTAACCTGCAGACTTCCTGCCACCAAACCACAGAGTCTGCATGTATATTCACAAGTCTTCTTCAAGAAAAACATGGGTGCCTGGAGGAGGGGCAAGTGCAGGTTTTCCCCTCATAATTCTACAGTGAAGCATGAAAATCTAATAACTGCAAAGGTCAAAAAAGAAGGGGTCTTCAGCAAAACACTACCATTATCAGAAGTTTAGAAATTAATTAAACACATGATATGTCTTTGTTAAGGACTATATTAAGATGCAGTCTAAACACAAAATGAAAGTGTCACAATTTACACTAGGACTTATTTTTCTAAATACCTTTTTGATACAACTTCTGCCTCAAGACTAAGCATATAGTTCTAACATCTAAATATGAAAGGCAAAGAGGCAGAACCTTTTTCAGGCACAGGCTATGCATTTTCATCTGCAGATCTAATAAGGCTCAATTTACTGCACCACATTCAAGAGAAAATGAATCGTGTTTCAGGGGAACACTTCCTAATTTAAAAAGCAAAGAGCCAAGATCAAAGGAAGAAAATGTTGAATAGAGCGTGTTTACTTACAATTTCAAGACTTTTACTGATCTGGAAGCTTGAGTAATTATTGAGACTGGACAAAGAGGTCATGAAGATCCTAATCTACCAAGTCTAACTGCAGTGGTCTGGCCATTTCTCATTTATAAAAAACCTAATACATTAATCTACTCAAGGCAATAAAAAACTAAAAATATCATTTTATAAAAAATACTACATTTGAGGTTTAGTCCTGCCTGGCAGTATAAAAAGTAACAAATATCCTGTACTTTCTCCTTTACTTCTACTGCTTTATATAAATACTTTTGGCCAAGGACAGGGATTCACTCTACATTGAGCATCCTTTACCCAAAATGCTTGGGATGAGAAAGAGTTTGGATTTTGGATTTTTTCATATTTTGGAATATTTGCACATACATAATGAGATATCTTAGGTATGGGACCTAAATCTAAACATGAGATTCATTTATATTTCCTATAAACACCTTAGGTACGTAGCCTGAGGGCTGTTGTATGCAAAATTTTACCTATGTTTTGACTGTAACTCATCACTTGAGATCAGCTGTGGCATCTGTTGACACTCATGGTGTCAAAAGTTTTAGATTTGGGGGTGGGTGTGGTGGTGTACACCTGTAATCCCAGAAGCTCTGGAGGCTGAGGCAGGAGGATCACAAATTCAAAGCCAGCCTCAGCAATTTAGTGAGGCCCTAAACAACTCTGTGAGACCCAGTCTCTAAATAAAATACAAAAAAGAGAAAAGGGGTGCTGCGGATGTGGCTCAGTGGTTAAGCACCCCTGGGTTTAATTCTCGATACACACACAAAAAAAGAGGTTTATCAATTTTGGAGCATTTCAAATTTCAGATTTTCAGATTAGGAAGGCTAAATTTCTCTGCCATAAAATTCCAACTCAATTCCTCATCAGTCAAAATAGAAATGAAATAACCTTGGCTGCTATAACAGGGATGTCCTACAACTGACCCACACTGTAAATCAAGTTTAATTGCATACAAAGTATTAACTTACTGTATTCCAGGTGAGCACTGAAGAATATGGCAAAATTGTGTCCACATTACTTGTCTTTGCATATATGCTCCAATAAGAAGAAGCTGAATAGATTTTTCAAAGAGAAAAGAGACATGATTTAATAAGAATAAGGAAATCTACATTATAATTCAACCAAATCAAGCAAACCAACCAAAGTTTCCACTGCTTTATTTATCATCCTTAAAAGGTTAACCATTGTGATTTTATCTATAGACTAAAATATTTAAGTTCTGCTTTTAACAATGAGAATAATTTCAATTTTTTTTTTTAATTTGCTACTACATCTACTTAAATGACACTACACCACTTTATACAGAGCCGACAACATAAAACTGGGCTAAGAAAGATTTTATTTTTAAAAAATCACTAATAAGGTTACAAAATCAAAATCCTATCTTATATCTTATCTGTGTCTGAAAAGCCACAGCTTCTCAAAAACCACAAGAGAATGAAATTTAATTAGCTGCTGACTGCAATAGTTTGTTTTTTTTTAAATGTTCCTAGGCAGCATTTTGACAGATTGAGGCATTCATTATCAATTTATTGCTTTCCCTCAAGCAAAAGGGTCAAGTATTCGACTTAAGGTGCAACATCAGCATCTCTTACCAATTATAAATTCCTGAATGAGGTCAAATGAATGGCAGGCAGAGACATTCTCAGAAATCCATTGAATAATCTTTAAAAAGAGAACAGAACTCTGTTGGTATTTAAATATGCACTCCATCCCCACAACCAAAGTACAAATGTACATATATACACATACCTGTGTTTATATACTATATAAATGAATCTTTTTAATTCTATGTTTTGGAATTACCTAGGAATATATTCACTTCTACGCTATTTTTTTAAGATATGTAATAATATTAATTCTGGCTGGGTGAAACAGTATTATAAATGAGACCTCTTTTTATACATTTTTAAAATAAATGCCCTTGACTGGGATCCAAATAAATCTTCTTCAGTGCCAATGAAGGTTTGCTGGTTTTGCTAGAATGGATCACGTCATGCAAGGCACCAGTGGGAAGAGCTCTGAGATATAGAAACAAAGGAAGCAAAACCACCACCAGGCTTGGAGGCAGCACCTGTCAGTCTCCACAGCTACCCTCACCTGCTGGAAGAATGTCTCCTGAGGGTTGCCTGGCCCTCGTGCACACTCACATTTCTGCTCCTACCAACATGTTGTTTTATTCCAAACTTATTTATGCCAGTTTTACTTATTTTCACAACTAGGTAATTTAATAAAATTTACTACAGACAAATGAAATATAGTGCAAAGAGTATTGTTGGGTTGATAAAAGTTGAATGCTTTGGAAAGACTCAAAGGCATGTCTCTCAGATGTTTATTTTAAGACTAGGTATAAATGAGACAACTACGTAAGATTGGGTAAAAAAAAATGCCTAATATACAGACTACTTTGGAAAGGTTCTTAAATTATGGATCTCCTTAGAAATAATTTTTTTCCAGAAAGTAATAGGGAATCAGAAATGTACATTATTAGGAGTTTTGTGCAAAAAAAAAAAATGACTTTGAACTCCAATGAGCTAAATTACATAGAAAGGGCCTTAATATACGTTAAAAGATAGGTGAATAAATGTACCTTCATATGTTTTAGGTTAAACTTAAATGTCTATTGTATTTTTCCCCAGTTAATCAGCAACCTATTAGTCCCAGCCAAATCTGATAAGATTTCTGACTTCACAGCCTAGCTGCAAAAATTAAATTACAGAGGGCTAGGGATATGGCTCAGCTGCCTGTCTTACTTGCACAAGGACCTGGATTCAATCCCCAACACCACCAAAAAAAAAAAAAAGAAAAGAAAGAAAATTAAATCACAGAGAAGGTGTGGAAGTGTTTTGCAAACTATAACATGAAACACAAATGGAAGCTATCATCATTAAAAATGCAATAAATATCCACCACCAAATTTAGCCCTTCTGACAATATATTTATGCCAAATATAAACCAGGAAAAAAGCAGAAGTTTAAGAAACTCATTATTTACTGAGCACTTAATTGGAAAGTTACTGATGTAGTTAAACATTCATTCACAACGTGGAAAAGAGTGCAATAGTTTCTCCTTATCTTCAGGGAATAAATATGTTCTAAGCCCCCCAGTGGATGCTTGAAACCTTAATCTGAAACTTTGGCAATGTTAGCTTGTGATTTTTCTTCTCTCATTAAGAACTTTCACTTAAGTATTTAGAGGCTTCTTAAGCATATTTGAATTGCTAGTATCACTATTCTTATGCTTTGAGGCCATTAAGTAAAATAAGGATTACTTGAAAACAAGCACTATCAACACTGGAACCATGGATCTGATGATTGAGAGAGTAACTAAGTGACTAATGAGCAGGTAGCATATACAGCACAGATACACTAAAAAAAGGGATGATTCATAACCCCAAGCAGGACAGTGTGAGGTTTCATTTCACTACTTGGAACACCACTGTTTAAAACTTATGAATTGTTTATTTCTGGAATTTTCCATTTATTATTTTCAGAACACAGTTAATTTTGGATAACTGAAATTGCAAAAAGTAAAATCATGGATGTAGGTGGCAGGTGGTTACTTTACTCAAAAGAACAGATACACCCTCATAGTTGGAGGTCTGGTAGAGATCCATAAAAAGGAAATACAAAGGAAGAATATGTTCAAGTCACAACATTGGCCGTAATCCTTACTTAACTATTAACAAGTAAAAATAACTTCCATTACTTTAAACTATCAAATAAATACTTTTGGTATTGTCTATTTACCATGTTCTTACCTGGCCTTCCAGGAACTGTGGATCTTGTCCACAAGAGAGCACACAGTGCAATATGGCCATCTTCTCACAATCTAGGGAGGTGTTCCATAGGAACCGCAATAAATAGGACTGGTCAAGGAATGCTCTGTAGAGCCTTCCAGAATACCAATCCAGTACCAGGGATCCTGACAGGGACTGGAAAGAACTATGAGGTAGCGTATCATTTGTTTTGTTATTTTCTGGAAAAAAAAAAAGTCAGCAGATAAAGGAACTTCTCACACTCAAACATAGATACTAAAGTCAAACCAAATCCAAACGAACCACATTCATGGGAGAAAATACTATCCCTACCTGTCAGAAATAGACTGTGGCAGATCAAGTCTGGATGTTGAATGTTAAGTAAATGAAAGAAATGACCAGGTAAGTAAACAGCCACATAACGTTCTGTAAAAGACAAAGATTCAAATCACCTATAAGTGGTAAAAGCTGTACAGGTTCAGATAAGGCCCAGAACTCTACTTTATCCCAATTTTTCATTGAACCTCTCAAAACACAAAAGGTTTTACCATGTAATAACAAGCTGTCTGATGCTAGTTTATTTCATGGGACTAACCAGGTCTCCTTTTTTTCTGTCTGTGGCGAATTATCTTCAGACATTTAGCATTGGTTATCTAAGTTTATACCTATAGTTTTGTTCCAAGTCATGCATCGTTTTATTTCAATCAAAATGATCTCTCAGAGGAAACTAGGATCAAAATTATCAAGCAACATGAATCATTCCTCAATCTGACAAGCTGGGAATAGCTTATAAAGGGATTTTCTCCATAGTCAGGCTGGGAGAGCTCTGCAGTTTAGTTTCCCATCTTTGTCACTCCTGGTCGTCACCATCATCTTGTATAAAGAAACCATGTTACTCATCAAGGTGATCTCTATGGCATCCTGACATTTTTGAAGTACTAATTTGTTTCTTTGCATAGCCAGCTGCTTAGAATTCATAATTTAGTGGTTCCTTTGCTAGATATTTGTGTAGCCAGAACATTTTTATCCAGATTGAAACAGTATAAATATAGGTTTCTGGAGAATGGGAGGGTGGAAGGAGCCCTTGCCAATAACTTTTCTAGGATCTTAAAAAATAATAATAAATTTGTGTGGTACTAGTGAATTTCATATAGGAGAAAATTTTCAATTTTGAGTTAGCTATATTTCTTTCTCAAAGAAGCAAAGAAACCTATGCTAACCAGTGGCATAGAAAGCATTCTGTGGAAAGGGAAAGAAATAGTATAAACCAATCAGGTAAGTGTCCTTTCACATGGACTGAGTGAAGTTAAAGTGCTTCACACAAATGCTAATAATCTTATTATCGTGTCAACATTTCAGTTGGAAAAACACGAGGAATAACCTAGTGAAGCATAGTGGAAAGGGTTTAGGCAATTAAGATGGTACTAAGTCCCTGGGGCAGGGACATTTAAAAATGTATTATTTTGGGTTATCACCATCATTAGGATAGGGTGGGGGATTCCTCCTGGTATTTGTTGAGTGGTGCCCAGGGGTGTTCAATCCTCACTGTGCAGGACAGTCTCACCCAAAGAATGATTCTCTCTTCAAAAATGTTGATAGGACCTGTGGTAAATGGAAAGATGACCCCTAGGAGTATTCATATGCTAATTTTCAGAGCCTGTGAATATGGTAGCTTCTGTGATAGAAGGGACCTTGCAGATATGATCAGGATCTTGAGATGGGGAGAGTACCAAAAGCGGACCCAACATGATCACAAAAGTCCTCATAAGAGGGAGGCAGAATGAGACTGGACTATGGAAGAGAAGAGGATCACATAGTGACAGAGCAATCGGAGTGATGTAATTGAGATGCTGGAGGAGGCAAGGAACAAATTCTTCCTGGAGTCCCCAGAAGGACCCATTCCTGCCATGCCTTGATTTCAGCTCCTCAGCTCTCATTCTGGACTTCTGACCTCCAGAGGTTCAAGGCAATGTATGGGTTGTTTTAAGCCCTCAGTTTGTGGTATATTACAGCAGCAATGAGAAACTGACATAGTATCTCTTGTGAGGAACAATGAAAGAAGTCCAGTCACACATCTCACCCTTTCGAGCTTTGGTTTCATTATCTGTAAAATGGGGATACCCTCACCAGGCAGAATTGTAGCAAGGACCAAAATAATTTAAGTAAAATATTTAGCTTATAGTATTCATTAAATAATAGCTTTTTGAAAATTGTTCTTAAATTTGAGACTTATGTGTTGGTTTTATACTAGGGATTAAACCCAAGGGCACTTAACCACTGAACTACATCCCCAGTCCCTTTTTTTTATTTAGAGACAGGGTCTCACTAAGCTGCTTAGGGCCTTGCTAAGTTGCTAAGACTGGCTTTGAACTTTCGATCTTCTGTCTCAGCCTCCCAAGACACCAGGATCATAGGCATGTGCCACTGCACCAGACTAGCTTTTGTATTTTTAAGCATAGCTCTTATGTAGATATGTTTAAGGCTCATGGAAATTTGTTAAATCTTAATATTTCTTTAATATTTCAATCAGTAGAAGACACATTTTAACTGGGTAATATTACATAGAAATTATCAGCAACTAATAGCAAAGCATATATCCCTCAAACAAGTACTACTGTTGTCATTAAAATCCCCTCTAAAAGAGTTTAAATCTTGTGTTACAGTTTGGTGCCTATAAACCAAAATGTGCTCCAAGAGAGAGAACTTATGTCAAAACAGCCGGTTTTTACAAAGCTCTAGTATTCCTGCCCTCTGTACACTCTGAAGATCATAAATTAAATCCTGCCTTGCCCTTTCCAAGTCATTCCCAGGGGGAAAAAAGAGGAAGAAACCTTTGCTCTCATAAAATGCCAGGTTATTTTTGTGGGACGTTTCCCACACCACTCTTGAGTGTGCTGACTCAGCACTCTAGTAAGACTCAGGTCCCAGACCCAGGAGCCTTACATTTCTCTCCCTGTCACAGGAAGCAGTGGAGCCAGGCCTCTCTAAGGCCATTCTTCACAGGTTTTGAGATCATGTTAAAATTTGCTACAGATTGGCCAATTTAACATCAAATACTTAACTTCATCAATAATATCATTCAAAACAAAAATCTTGGGGACTGAGGAATATAGCTCAGGTATAGAATGTTTGCCTAACATGTGTAAGGCCCTGGGTTCAATCCCCCAACATTAAAATATAATAAAGTAGTTTTAAAAAAAAAAACGGTCTTTGTATGCACTTACCATTTATGGGTTCTTACTTCTTTCAGTCCCCTCCCATTGTACTTATCTAAACCTTTGTCATGACAGCAGATGGAGCAGGGGTCATGGATGGGGAAAGATATCAAGGAATCCTATGCTCTCAAACTGAAGCTTTCCTTCTTTAAATATTTTGCCATTGCTTATAAATGGAATACTTTCTATAAGTTGTTCCTTTACTGTTACCTAACACAATTACATGAAAGTATCTTTCTTTTGTAATATACTTCAAGTTCTAATACTACCAAGTCAAATGTACAGAAACTCACTGACCTCAAAGTGTCCGACACACTTCACATATGTAAAAGTAAATCATAAAATAAGAGTTATTAATACCATAAACTAATAGAATACAATCTATAAATAAATATTGTGCCATTTCCCATATGTAGGCAAGTAACTATTTCATAGTTCTTGTACTAAAAACTCTGTCCACATTCCAATTGTCCTAGAAAAGCACCTTTCAATAGGGAAATACAATAAACACCATTAGAGTCCCCTAATACTCCCAAGTTTAACATTCATCTGGTTCCCATCGCCATATTTCCTCAGTGAAAACAACTCACTTTAAGCTGGTCGTGAATGGAACCCATAAGCCTTATCATAAATAGCAAAAGGGAATGGACAATTCCTAAAAGGCCCTGACCTTTTGGGTCAAGATGTTGTATTACTTTTCATAGGCTGTTAGGGAATGTGTTATCCAAGGTCATCATACATCAATACTAACAAATGTTCTAAGGACCGCTACCAAAAGCATAAGCTCACAGCCTACGTTTTCTAAAGGGGGAATATACACTCCCACCACAAAAGCTAATGGAGTCAAGTGGAAGGGTGTGTTTCAGAGAAAACCTTCTCCCATCAGATGTCAAGAGGATTGGTGACTGTCATCACAAGCCGAGAGTCAAAGAGGATGAGAAAATGAGGTGCAGAGAGAAGAAAATAAGACCGTGAAAGCTGAGGCATAGCATGTACTGGGAGGTCAGAACAGAGAGAGAACATCTCCTCATCACCCACCAAGATTGAGGAAAGTAATGCCTTGTGTCCCATGTGAGCCAGCACTCCCAAGAGCAGCAGTGAAGGTCTTGCTGTATCCTGAAAGCCAGAGAAGGAATGTCAGAAACAACTGGAACTATACTTAAGACAGTGACTCTAGGTAACACTCTCAATTTCAGTAACCAGAGAAATGACTGAATCTGGTAGAGCGAGCACCTTGTGACTTCTCCATCTCATGGGAGCCTGCACTAAGGTGGATGGTCTGAGTGCAGGCACAATCTACTGGTTGCTTTCAGCTCCTATGTAACCTTAGACCATAAGAGGTGGATTAGATTGTTCAGGGAGAAAAGGATCCAAAGAAATCTACTTAATAATCTAAGAGATGGAGAATATCAGATGGCTCATTAGCCCTCATGCTTCAAAGCTCACTGCCACACTTGTAGGCATTAAGACCCTCTGACACTCTGAGTAATAATCCCACTTTTAGTTAAAAAGGGGATTGAGCTACCATTAATCCCAGTATACTGTATTTCACTCTACTATTCTAACTTAGTCTTCAGAATAGTTCATTCACTGGTTTTAATCATTAACCATGAGAAAAATGTATGGAAACATTCCACAAAACTTTACATTTATACTATGTAAGTATGTATATATGTCCAGTTGTAAAGTTACTTCTAGTTTCTCCACTATTAAGTTTTTTAAACTCATCTGCCTTGATCACTAGCACCTAGGTAGTATTAGGCACTCCTGCAGAATAATGAATTGTGGTGTGGCTTGGCATAAATATTTTTTAAATATTTGAGGGGAAAAAATCCAACTTTAAAAAAAATTTAGTTCCACCCATAGTACTACACAAATGCTAATTTTGAAGAACTAAACAAATAAGTACTCCCTATTATGGTTCAGACTATAACTGTGAGAGGGCATGCTGTGACCTACTGCAAAACTGGAAAAGGTTGGGCATTTGTTCCTGCTCCCCAGCCTATTGCCTAATCAATAGCTCAGGGCCACAGATGTATAAAATGAAATAAACCCATCTTAGGTCTAAAGGTCAGAGATCACAATTTCAGTTTAAAACTGATGTAAAGCTATAGGTACTTTCCAATTAGTAACAAAAGTCAAACACACATACTCTAGGCAAATACATTCTATTGGCATTGGTTCATGGGCCTAAAAGGAGATGTATTCCAGGACAAAAAAATATATATAGTACATAATATTTAGCTAATTTAATATTTATCACTAGTGAATTTCTTCAGGAAACATGTATTACGTAGGTATATAGGAATAGAATGTACTGATAGAAGTAGTAAGACTTTAAAAATCTAATTTGCTACTATTTGAAAAAAGCAATTATGTAAACTCTAATAAATGTAAAGTACCTTTATGAAAGTAAAACACTGAATATGTGATTTGTTCCCAAGAGTCAAACTTCGGGCTGTAACATACACACAAGCTTCCTGGAAAGAAGAACATATTTAATAATAGAGTTTAAAAGAATCTGTGTAATAGATAATTTTCCTAAGCCGCTTAGCCATTCTATTCCTTTAGGTATCCTGCCCCCATCTTACCACAGATTATTCCCAAATTCTAGAAGTGGCCAATTAACAAGTTGCTAAGAAATTTCAAATCAACAACTATTTAGCATCAACAATTATAAGCAATATGTTGTGGGAAGTGACTGATGGATGGAAAAATGAATAGAGATGCTATTATATCTGAAATAATGGGAGTCTAGAAACATCTCCAAACTTCATGAAATTTTCCTGCTGTGCATGTACTGCCCTGTCCTTTTATCTATCTTGCCACTTTCAATCATTTCTAATATTAGAGACGCCAGTTTATTAAAAAAAAAAAAATATGTTCCCCTCTTTACAGAAGTTGTCCATTCTTGTTTATTTAGACTAAAAAGTAAACTGTGATCTCTTATGGGACAGTAGCAGCAAATTTGGTGTCTGAACCCATGCTCACCCCTATTTGGGTCACTGAAAGCTTGTCCCAAGGTAAGCACCTGGCATGGAGTGGTCTTTCCAAATTAACCCAGAATTCTTCACTTACCCCAACACTCAGAAAACCCTCAACCTTCCCATCTCCATGTGGAAAACTGTACATTATCTGTACAGTTGTTGCTAACTAGATAGAACAATGTCCACCAATGATGTACAAATGAGGGCATTATGCTTAAAATAACTCGGGTTGAATATTGTTTTTCTGAAATGCCTGGAACCAGAAGTAATTCATATTTTGGATTCCTCAAATTTGGAATATTTTGATAGGCTTTACTGGTTGAGCATCCCTAATCTGAAAACCCAAGATGCCCCCAAATCTGAAATTTTTTAAGCATCATTATCAGGGCTCAAAAAGTTTTAGATTTTGGAGCATTCAGCATTTTGGATTTTCAGATTAGGGCTACTCTCCTATGTTAACATTTATGTGACTGACTGAAATAGGACATTGTTGAATAGAAAGAAACTTGACAGAAGTCAGAAAACTCAGGTTCTAGTCCCAGAGCCAATATTAACTAGCTGTGTGAATTCTATCACCACTATACCTTAGTGGCTTTTGATATTTTCTTTTTTATTCTCTACTAGTTTCTTTATAAAAGAATCATGGAAGGAGAAAAATGTACATTTTCTTAAGGAAGACTATTCAAGGACATTTATAAAAATCCCGTTACAATATTCCACAGTTGTGAGTATTTTAATGACATTTAAAATTGCAATGTATTGTTAGAAGTACACTTTATTGCAAACAGCTTGAAAATACAAAATTTTAAAAAGCTATCAGATAAAAATGATAATGATTCTGCCACTCTTATGGTTACTGATCACCCAATAACAACTTTTCTTTAAATTACAGCACTTACTTAGATTAAAAGTAATCTACTAGTAAAGCATAAAAAAAATAGTAACCATAGGAATTACAAAAGTGCAGTGTACCACTTTGACTACTTTCCTACAGTAAGCATTATCAAAAACAACCCATTATATTTTATCCTAGGATCACAGGGAGAAAGAAACTGCTAGCAAGCACAGATAGAAAAAGGAAGCCTCTCTAGCAATAAAGAAAGAAAAATTAAGCAAGATACTGTATTACTCAGCAAATTTTTTAAAAAAACAACAATGTGCTGTCAAGGAAGCAGTAGGAAGAAGATTCTTGAGGAGTGTTGGAAAAGACAACTAGTTCAACCTCTCCCAAAAATAGGCACTGTAATGCACACCTATAATCCCAGCTGCTCAGGAGGCTAACGTAGGAGAATCAAGGCCAGCCTCAACAACTTTAGTGAGACCAGCTCTCAAAAAATAAAAAAGGACTGAAGAGGAAGCTTACAGAGTTCCTGGGTTCACTTTCCAGTACCAATAAAATAAAATTAAAAAGTAGGTTTACAGAGAATTAAATATATTCAGACTTATAAACTGAAGAATTATTTAGGAATCTATCCTAAGGAATGAGCATGATATGTCAATAAAATAAGATCATAACCTCCTCTGTAACAAAATCCTCCACATACCATCCTCTATAGAATGAGGATAATTGTTTCTGTTTTGAAGAAAATTAAAGCAACATGTAAATTGAATGCACCTAATTACATATACTGAAAACCATAATCAGATCTAATAAGCAAATATTTCCAGATTGTTAGGTTGTAGTTTAATTCTGTCACCCAAACTCAAAGGAAAAGAGAGACACATCCATCTGAAATAGCTGTGCACAAGCTCTACAGTGCTGTTCAATAAACTTTATAGATGACAGAAATGTTTTAAACCTATATAGTCCTATATGGTAACTACTAGCCAGAGTTAGTCATTGAGCTCTTAAAATGTGGCTAGTGTGACTAACGTACTACTTTTTAAATTTTTAATTAACTTCAACTTAATAATACATGGCTAGTGACTTCCTTATAGGACAACACAGTTCTAGAGCACTAGTTCTTTATTTTGTTTATTTTTATGTGGTGCTAAGAATTGAACCCAGTGCTTCACACATGGTGGGCAAGTGCTCTAACACTGAATAGCCCCAGCCCTTAGAGCACTGGTTTTCAACCTTGACCGTACATTAAACTTGTTTGCAATCACAGATGTTAAGATCCACTTCCAATCATCTAAGAATCTCCATGGCAAGACCCAGGCATCAATATTTTTTTAAAGCTAATAGATTCTAACGTGCAACCAAGGTTGAGAACCACTTTCTAAAAATCATATCTGGATGTGAATCTTAGTTTGGGCTTACTAAAGTATATTGCCTAAGATGAGTTAATTAAATTCTCTAAGCCTTAGTTTCCTCACCTATAAATAAAGAAAAATATAAAACCTACTTCATAAGGTTCTTGTGCGAAAATTAAATACAATAATGTGCATAAAGCTCTGACAAAGTAGTTATATCTGGCTATAAATGTTAGCTGCTATTATTATTCCAGAACAATTTTGCTGCTATTTATAAGTTTGAAGAAATCACAGTTTGAAACAAGGTATACTCTTAGTAGCATGTGCAGACCTGGGATTGGACCCAGGAGTGCTCTCCTCTGAGCTACATCTCCAGGCCTTTTTATTTTGAGACAGGATCTCACTGAGTTGCTAAGTTTGGTCTGGAACTTGTGATCCTCGTGCCTCAGCCTTTCAAGGAGCTGGGATTACAGTCATGCACTGCCACACCTGACTCTAGAGACTTTTAATAAATACTCATCAAAAATGAAGATAATATCTCAATACTGGCTAACCTTTAATAAACCATTTATACCATGAAAACTATTATGAAGTTTTCTAAGGGAAATTATGTCCTTGGAATGGTTATTACAGGGCGCTCTAAAACACTGTGAAATGAACTGCTCATATGGAGCAATTCTTGCAATTTTGTGAAAGGGAAGAATGGACACATGTCCCCACTACTTCTGATCAGGTACATGAGAAAGAACTACAGCCACTGACTTATATGGTGAGTGCAGCTTCCCCTATCAGACACGGATGGAATATTTTCTTCCTTTTTAATACTTAAAGTCTCTAATTGCTTTACCTTCTTATTGTAAGAGATTTATCACAAAAGCCTAGATGAACTCATAATACACAAGAGGCCTCACACTGTAGCAGCACCACCAACTTTCGTGAATATAACTATCATCCAGATGTTAACCTCTCGTTCCTCAGAAGATATGGGAGGAATGAGATCCCATTCATTTCTTGGGGCAAACAAATTCAGGACAAATCTGCTTTTGAGAACAAAAAAAGTAATGCTGAAAGGACAAAGTAGCTCCTTATCCTTGGGTTGCTCTCCCTAATGACCAAGGTGTGACCAGTGAATACCAAATATCATTATGTCATCATCGTTAGTGTGAATAGTTGGTGTGTGGAGCCATATTTGGATTAGATTATATGTTCCCTTCTCTAACCTTACTTTGCTCAAGTAAATTTTGTTTATTTTAACCACAAAGGTTAAAATAAAAACATTTTAAAAAAACAATTTGGGAAATATATGAACTGGCAAACTATTGTGATAGTAGGAGCAAATGTGACTCCATTTTGTTTTATGACTTCATCCTGTAAAACAACCATGCCAAGTAGAAGGGTCATGACTGGGGCAAGATGTTCTTTTCCTTTTGCTGCAGAAGCCTTTAAGAACACGGAACTACCTAATGGGGCATTGTTTCTGTAACTAGGGTAACGGGGCTCTGTTTCTGTAACTGGGGTGACTGGGCTAACTGTGATTGGTTAGGCTTCCCACCGCTTGACTGCACTGTCCCGCTTCTGTAACCTGGCTTGCTTGCATTGGCTAGACCCCCTAAACATCCCTTTTGCAGTCTTCAGGCTTATAAGGAGTGGAGTGCCCTTGCAATTGTTCAGGGCTGATCAGGGGAACAGCTTTGTGTTCTGGTCAGCCGCCACTGGTGTACTTCAATAAAGGCTTGATTCGATTATACGTGAGTGGTCTGGAAATCAGTTTATGAAACCCCGGGGTTAAAGCTTTAACTATAACACTATCAGTTGAAAACCAAGTGATTGGTTCTATGACTTTTTCATGTTTACATTTGGAAACATCTCATTTTCAACAGGCTTTTTTTTTTTTTTTAATTTTGTTTCAAAGCTTATTTTGTACTCTCCCAGACATTGCTTGGGAAAAGAAAAAAAGCTTTAATATCTCCTGCCCCATAAAGCTAACATTTTGTTAAATATGGTGTCATAGGTAGCCCATTTATCGGTTACTGTTCAGGAGAAATTCCTGCGAGAATAAAGTGAAAATAAATAAAAGTTCACACGAAATTAAAGCCTAAAATGATTGTTACAGCCCACAGACTTAAAGTGAAGTACAAGGGAAATAGCTACCCTGGTCCCTCCCTGTGAGCTCTGGATCCCATTTCATCCCACCTCCTAAGCAAATTTATTCTACCAATGATCATCCTCTTCATTAAATATGTCCTGTAAGGATTTGAACATACTAGAGTCTCTACCATCAAAAAATAAAAATATTCCCCGAACCCCACTTCCACCTTGAGCTGCTGCCTCTCTCGTGTCTACACAGTGTTACATTTTCAACTCTCAAGTTCCACTCAACCAAGCATAATTAAGATTTCACCTCCATCACCCCACACAGAAATCTCACAGTAACCTCAGTAACCTCCGTGCTGCTACACCCAATGGGCTCCACCTCTCACTTCCTCCTGCCAACCAGCCACCCCCTCTCCTTTGTGTGATCCACCCCTCACCTTCAGCTCCTCTACCACCTCACTTATTTTGCTGTTCTTCCTCTCTCTCCAGACATTTGTCTTCCTTATCCCTGGGATGCTCTCCCTAACCTTCAATACGTTTATGCTCCCAGATCTTATTTCTTAATGTCTTCCTTTCTGACCCTGAACTCATCCCATGGCTTCAAATGCCAAATATATTCCGAAAAATTCCACACTTACTCATTACCAGTCCTGACACCTCTTCTAAACTTCAGACCTCTTAGTTAACATGCCCAAAAGGAAACTCATGATCTTCCTTTTTAAACCCCACTCAAACCTCTACACCCCAGAAATCAGCACCGCTTTTTACCCATTTGCTGATGCCAGAAACCCGAAAAACATTCCTTGTCACTTATTTATAGCAAGTCCTCTCAGTTTCCTCACCAAAATGCACCTCAAACTCATCTAGCTCCCTCCACCTATCAATGAAAATTATAGGAAGCTATGAGAGCATAATTTTGGGGATTAGTAGAAGATACTGGTATCTTTATGTTCTAGTTTAATCCATCTATAGTTCATCTGTAGTTCAGTTTAATCCATCATAGTTCAGGCCTCCATCATCTCACACATATCACCCCAGTCTCATCCTAACTATTGACCTCCCCACTTCTCTGGCCTCCTACAACCCCTTCTTCACACAGCAGCCACAATGATCTCATAAGATTATCTAATTATGCTACTTCCTGCTTAAAACACTACCAGGAAGTGACACATATGGACCCTAAAACTGCCAGAGGAAAATTGTCAGGAATAGGATAGTCACATGGTGCCAAAAATTACCCACAAGTTAACTTAGAGGTTAAAAATGTATCTTTTAACCTACAAGGGAGACAGTAGTCACCACTTAACCAAATGAACACACTTATCACCACTAACAATAGGACATCCTAGCATTCTATGTCTCCTGACCTGAAAAAAGGAGATTCACAATACCACCTACAAAGCATATTGCTTTTAAAGTAAAAGAAAAAATGGGTTTAGAACCCAAACATATTAGTAAACAAGACACAACAGGTATCCCTATCTCTATACACCATTTGCTTAAAGATGAAGCAAGTGAGAAAAATATGGATTAAATATAAGCCCATCCCCTCTGTTAAAACAACACAAATGATACTTATTAGAACAATGATCCTGTTAACCGTAGCTTCTTTCATACAGAGAGCATATGTATAAAATTATAGTGGAGGGGTTAGAGGTGTCACTCACTGACAGTGCATGTGCTTAGCCTGCACAAGGTCCTGGATTCAAACCCTAGCACCAAAGGCAAAAAATAAAATCACAGTGGAGAAAGCAATTTGGTATGTATGTGAATCCATATGATTACCTTTATAATAAGGATATAATGAAGTGTCTCTTTTATATTTCATTTTCAGGATCCATATTGCTGAATAATAACTAAATTTTAGCTAGAACTTGAGTATAGTGGAATAAATTGATAAATACAACCCTGGTTCTACCTGTATGGTTGGTAAAAACACACAGAGTCAGGTATTTGCACAATTTTTCTTGGTCTTGACGATAATCATATCCAAAGTTGATGAGTCTGAGAAGATAAAGGAAAAATTGAATGCATTAAAAAATACATTCCCTCATAAATTATATAAGTGACCCCTGTAATGTACCTACAGAAGTAGAGATGTATCTCTGAGATATTTAAGTAGATAACTTTTTTGGTCAAAAAATTCTGGACAACAGTATTTAAAAAAAATACATGGTACATAAACAGTGTGGGATGAGCAAGAGAAAAATAAATATTACTTAAAACTTACATTTTTATATTTTTTTGTAATTTAGAGATATACTCTGAAGCATATGTTTCTGAAGAAGCACAACTAAACATTCATATGATTAGAAAATCTAGTGAAATACATCATAGCTCAGGATTATCATTACTCTAATTCTTGAAGACTTTCATTCGTTTTGATGGCCTTATGTTTGTTTTTTCCAAAGAGTCTGAGGCTTTTACTACAGGTAAAGTATGCAGGAATAAAAATGAAAGCTTGCCTTCTTTGTAAAAAGGAAAGCAGAAAAGCAGAGCTAGAGACTCAGCTGAGCCACAAGCAGATTGACCTGTTACATCCTCTCGAGGGCAACATGGGTTTTGATGTTTTATTCTAAATGCAGCTCCGTGGCCTACAAATCTTTGTATTTAATCATGAGGAAAAGGGTACTTCCATACATCAAAATAAGTTGAGATGTGCCACAGAAATAAACGGCTAATAAAATCAACAAGTTGACTTTACATGTAAAATCTCATGTTTGTGCTTGATAAAGTTATTTATAATCCCTATAGAGAACAGGAATATAAAATAAGATACATAGACTATCAAACTGACCCTTTATTTGCATATCATGAATGAGGAATATAATCATTTTGACCAAAAATATCTATAAAAATAACCATTTATTAATAACTTAATTGAAGACTTTCGTTTGTTTTGATGTATTTTTTTAATACTGTTGTCCAGCATTTTTTGACCAAAAAAGTTATCTACTTAAATATCTCAGAGACACATCTCTACTTCTGTGGGTACATTACAGGGGTCACTCACATCATTTATGAGGGAATGTATTATTTAATTACTTAAATAATTATTTAAGTAATAACTTACTTAAATCCTGAGTCACTTAATGTTATGTCCAAAGGTGCTTCAAACTGTTTAAAAAGAGAGAGACAAAAAAATGACACTAAGTGATGACAGGCCGTACTCACCTGTGATGAGAAGACACTTAACCATCCTCATCTTCAGAGCTGACACTCAAATGCATGGCACAGGAAGTGCACTGGAAATATTCTGGAGTTTACATACAACCACAAGCTTGATATATACTTTCTTTCTTGAAGAGCTAAGGCTTGGCAAACTTTGCCTTGGATCCAAATATCATAAATGGGTTGGTTGTACAATAGGACAATTAGAAGCAATAACTTTTTAGGAGACATGAATGACCACGTAAGGCAGGCAGGCCTGGGGTCTTTACAAGGAGTGGCTAAGCCAAAAATGGCAAAAGGAGTAAATGAAATTCCTGGAATGGCATGAAGCCAATCCATACTAGACAGTCAAGGAAAAGAAGGAAGGATCATCTGTTGTGGAGAGCCGTGATTTGAATCATGGTCTTTCTGACTCCCTTGTGGCTGCCTTTGCTCTGGGAACTACCTGTTCAGGTCAAGATAGCCCAGTTGCTATGGTGACACCTGTGCAAAGGCTCAGATTTTTCAGTTAGGACCTTGAGTTCAAGCACCAACTTCCAGGGACAGAAAATTCTGAGCATAACAAGATGACCCTAATGTCTTGCCAGTCCTTTATCCTTCAGATTGCCTGCTCTGCTAAAACTTTCCCACAAATAACCTTTTGATGACAAAACCTATATAATAAACGTGCTAAGCCAGCTCTGGGTCAGTCGAGCTCCATCAGAGCTTTTCTGTGTGTGTGTATATCTTTTCTTTTCTCCCCATTGCCCCTTATCTGGTTTCTGAATTAATGGCTAGGACTGAGAGATGAGAGGGTCGTGGCAATCCATCCCAGATAAAAACATTGGGGATGCCTAATGAGGCTAACACTTTCAGTAGCTCTCCTGGGAGTAATGCTAGAGTTTTGCTAATTAAACTGTACCCTCTTACTAGCTCTCTTTATTTTCAAATCCAAACTCACAAGTCCTTTCAGGTCAAATCACTTGCAACCACTTAAAGTCATCTACTGTAGACCACACTTACTACTGAGTCCCACTCTTATGCTTATTCCTATAACGTGGGGTACTTAGTAGGGACTTCCCACCGGTGCTCTTCTCACCCATATTAAATATGCATTTGTTATAGAGCTGAAGGCTTGAGATGGCAAGACCTATTTTACTTCCTCATCCAAGTGACTAGCCCAACATTAAAAAGGCTAAAATGTTGCTCATGGTGGCAGCTCTTAAAAGGGAGCAACATGTTATAAAATTTCCTACAGCTGATCATTCTGGACTTACCATTAAATCACAGCTCTGATCAGCATAAAACTGGAGGCACTTTAAGATACTCCTTGATTTCTAAAAAAGAAAACATTGTGACATAGTATCCCCCATGTTCCCTCCCACAAAAAAAACACAACAAAATACATTAGGAAAAGAAGGAAAGGAGAAAGAGAAAAGAAAGCAGCGAACAAGTAGTAACAAAAACTTTTTCATTATTTTTAATAAACTTCTGCTGACTGCTCCCACCAACAAAAATGTAGTGATTAATAAACTGTAGTGATGATAATGGCAAAATAAAATTTTTCCTATGAAAATGAGTTTTTACCTCCAGGTCAATGTAGTATAATCTCTGCTCTGTCATATCCCACTGAGTCCAAACAAAATCCTCAGCTATTCTGTGTCTTGGGAGATGGTCAGAATTTTTAATTACCTAAAGAGGCAAAAAAGATTTTATAAACATTGTTTATAAGATCATATCTGGAATTATTTTGCATATTTCATCTCTGTGATATGTGTGAATATTTTTACTTTATTGTTAGCACCTCCTGCAATCCAGAACACACAGTCTTTCCAGGAAAATTAAGGTGTAGTTCCCTCACAAATGCTCTAAAATATACTATTTTATTCTTGTTCCTAGTTTAGTGGACAGGTCAGGTTTTTTGGAGGCAAGACTACACCTACCTAAAAATCAATAGCTGCATTAATAGAAGATTCACAATATCCTGCTGTGTACATAAGCCCCTCCATCAGACTTCTGCAGACTAGAAGGCCTCCCTATCAAAGACAGAGGCTGTGATGCCAAGAAAACACTCAGGCCTGAACACAGGAAGTTCTGCCATGACCCCCATCTGGCCATGACTTTGGGCATGCTTCTATGCCTTCCACAACCAGTGTGATGACATTGCCCATCTGTCAGCAATTCTCAACTACTCATCCTTCAAGACATGACTTGGGCACTGTCTCCAACACAAAGCCTTCCCTCCCCTCATCAAGATGAAGGCAAAGCTCCTCCCCTCTATATTCTCTGGTGCTTTGGCATACTTCTATTAGTCACACTTTAATTAATAATATAAGCTTCCCCAAGTGAGCCTGCATTCTTTACGGCACCTTTATTTTTCCATATCTTGATTATTTCTAGCATGGAATAGCATTCAAGGAATGCTTATTCAAAAGACAGAAAAGTCAGGTGTGCAAAGTCAAACTGTTCAGTATAAAATATGTGTTTACAAGTAACAAAGTCAGAACTATAAAATTTAAAATTTGAGGATTCCAGAAATCATCTAATTCAACCCTCTGCTTTACACAGGTGAGAAACCTGAGACCCAGAGAGGTAAGATTAGGAAGGCTGTACAGTTAGTTTAGCGAGACCCAGAATCCCAACATCTGACACCCTGCCAGTACCCTTTGGACACCCCAGCTGACTTAAAAATAACTGAAAATGAGTTTAGAATTCACTTTCCAGGGCCTGGAAGTGTCATTTCAGTGGTATGGTGCATGCTTCGTGTGCAGAAGACTCTAGGTTTAATTTATTTTCCTCAAAACATTTACCAAGCAAAAATAATCTACACTGAGAGATGAGTAAAAAATGAAGACAGGTTAAGATAGAAGAAATGAAGAAAAAGGAGATTATCAGAATGGTCCATATTCATGCCTAACCTCTAACCCTAAAAGTAATCTCTTCGCAAAAGCTAATTTGGAACTTGAGGGAAATACAAGGCATAGAATATATCTCCATTTCTTGCTTGGTAGGTCCATTACATTTAGTCTATAGGAAAGTGACACTTGACAAAGGATCCAAGAGCACACATCTTTTCTAAACCTCTATATTCATCCTGTTTCCTTTTTTTTTTTTTTTTTTGAAATTTGTTAGATTGGGGCAGTATTAGAACCCTTTCAACTAAAGGGATGTGCTGACAAAAAACAGGAGCATGAGAGTGGCATACCCAGGTTCCAATCTCCACCTTGTCCCTTTACAGTTACCTCACCTCTGTGAGTCTGGGTTGCCATCTTCTCTGTGAAAATGGTTATGATTATGATACCGTAACCTCAATCAGGCAAGAGGCTGTGGTGAGCACGTGAAATTGCATTCTGCTGTATGCAGCAGCCATGGAATCCTTTAAGAACGACAGGGTTGTTCCCCGGAAGAGCACATGTGGGTGAAGAAATGCTGAGGCTGTGCCAAGTTGGCTAGCAGAATCCTTTCTGGGCAGCTGGTAAGGGGCCCTCCCCTCTCTTCTGCACAGTCCTAAACTCATTCCCCATTCCTGACCCCATCTTATTTAATTCGCTCCAGAGACTGTCCTCAAATTTGTGATCCCCCTTTCTCAACCTCCCAAATCACTAGGATTACAGGCATGTACCACCACACCCAGCTCCTGATGATTTTTAATGCAAAAATTAAAATGAAAAACTGGAAAATCAAGTGACTATCCATCCATGGTAGAATGACTGAAAAATTATGGGTTTTTATGTTCATGCTTCTAAACAGAATGAATTGGAGCTATTCTAGCTGACTTACAGGTAACACCACAAAACTGAATGAAGTAAAGAGTGAATGACAAATCAACCCTGGGTGTGCTGGGGTGGGGTAGGAGATTTTGTTAAGGATGAAAGGATACATACCAGGTGGTGAACATAAGTTAGAGGGGAAGAAGAAAGGGAGATGTGGAAAGCAAACAAAAAAACGGAAAACTGCAGCATAAATGTTATGATCTCATTTGTTATGTGTATAATATGCATAAAAATTAGAAAAACGACTATTTTTCTATTTAGTAACTTATTTACTCCTGACAAAGTAAAAAAAGTAAACACAAAAGTAGCTGGTAAATGTACATATTAAAATTTTAGTTTGTGAGGACAATGAACTCCCCATGTATGTGTGTCTAACCTTGTGCAAGTTTGCATGAGCAAGGCAAAAGCTGTGCAAAGACCCACACGGACACTGTTATTAGTTACTCCAAGAAACAGATTGGCAGGGGTGACATAGAGATAAAGGCGATAATTAACTTCCTCATATAGCTTTGTTTTACATGTTATGATAGCAGGTCTATAATTTAAAAGACTTCAAATAAAGAAAATACCACATATTGATAGCATTAATCTTTAAACAGTCTACATAGTTCTTTGTAGAAGAAAACTGACAAAAAAGAAATTTCAAATCTTTACCACTCTATTTCCATCTTCTTGGGTGACTTGGATATGAAATTGTTCAATATCTTGAAAAAAAAAGATAATTGAAACTTCAACATAAACATCAGTATATTTTTGTCTGTTGTGAAAAAATTTTTACAAAAGTAACAGATTAAACAACTGTTACAAAGCAATGTTATCAGACTTACAACAGAGACTCAAACACAAATAAAAACCTGCCTTTCTTCCCCTTTCTTTAGTCTATTTCAATACCCACTTTTGCTTCACTCTTTTTTTTCCTTTCTTTTTTTTATTTATTTCTTACATAGATGACAATAGTGGAGTGCATTACATTCATAATTATCCATTCACAGCACAATTTTTTTGTAACTCTGTATATAAAGTATGTTCACTACAAATTATGCCATTATACACGAGCTCTCTTATTTTTTTGCATACAATTCTTAATACATCTTTATACCACCATTTATCATATCTCTGTTTATAGCACCAATACTGTGTTGTCTCTCTGCACCCTTCTTCCCTCAAACAGTGTTTGTTCCCCTATGCCAGCAGTCTTTATAGAGTAAACAGGGCACCTTAGCAGGGCTTATCTTCAATGTCCAAATATCGAACTTGTGTTTGTTTGTATAGATAGAAAACTCATCATACAAGACATTTGGGAGAGGCAGTTTTATTGGGGTCAATTTCACATGAACCAAACCCCAAGACTTAATGTTAATTTGCAGATGATTCCTTATAACAATTTTTTTTTTTTTTTGAGTACTGGGGATTAAACTCAGGGACACTCGACCACTGAGCCACATCGCCAGCCCTATTTAGTATTTTATTTAGAGACAGGGTCTCACTGAGTTACTTAGCGCCTCACCATTGCTTAGGCTAGCTTTGAACTCATGACCCTCCTGCCTCAGCCTCCTCAGCCACTGGGATTACAGGTGTGTGCCACCACGCCCAGCAAAAACAATTTTGATTCAGTCACACCTTCTGCCAGTTCTACTTACAAAAACATGAGACAGGAAATTGAGTGGCAGAACAAGGACTGAACACACACTTAAGCCCTCAAGCCTGTTCTGCCAGCCATAAATGAAAGATGGCTCACTAGACAAGTCCACAAGTGGGTTTTGTCCTTCCCCACTTCCCATTGAAAACATCATGAAAGGACGTGAGCTCTTTTGACACAATCTTATTTGCTTTTACTTGAATTTGGCCATGTTGATATGTGTCCTCAGATCTGGAATTCTTCTAGCAACCAAAGCCTTCCCTTCTCTCCATCCAAGCCTCTTTCTCCTTTTATTAAAGTTATCTCCTAGGACAGACATCCTAACGAAGGAAGGACTGAAAAATGCAAAAACAGCCAGCACAACTGTTCTCCACACATCCCACCACGTGACGAAGTTGGAGATCTATGTATAGGATCCTATCATTCCCAAGATAGGCAAACTGAGCAGAACTTGGGGGCACCATAGGACAAACTCTTCCACAGGAATTCTAGGTCTCAAATGGACAAAGATCAGTGGACCCTTAGCAATGGCAAAGACATCTAGAAGATTCACTCATGTCCACACTTCATTAGGAGACTATGTCTCATTCACATGCCCCCGCATGGAACTTAAAGATACACTTACATTTCTCTTCTGATATCAGTAACAGTTGGTCCTGTGGGAGAGGATGACTTTCAACATGTAGGTAGAGGAACTGTAAAAAGCAAATTAATCAAAATCATAAGTTTCTTAGTTGCACAAATATTTCAGAAGTTGTATTTAATCACTGTACTACTATATACCATACAGGGGACTGGGAGCTACACAATAGTTCAGGGGAAACACACATACACATAGGTCAAAGTATACAGGAAGTAGAAATTTTCAGGACTTCAATTTTTCTAGGAGGAAGTTGATCTAAGCACAACACTATCACCATATAGTTAAACAATAAAGCAATAGTTGGAGCTATTTCTAGGGATGATACTTCCTATTTGGAATATTGATTTTGAAGCCAATTGAAAGAAGCAATGCAAACAACATTTATGCAGTATTTTTCACACACAAAAATAGAGTGATCAGTCTATTTGGTGTACAACTAAACCTAGTGTATACTTTGTGGGCCAAGTAAACATACTCCCCACTACAGCTTCCAAATTCCTGCTCCCCAGAAGCAAAGCACGACATAATTGGGGATTTTCCAAAAAAGTTCAGTGAGTCATGATGTGGCCTGTGGTTGACAATGTACAAGCCTCAAAGACAGAATGATCACCACTGGGAAGAAAAGACTTATTTCACCCCATTTCTTCTTTGTGGTTTACACAGGATCCTCATAGGACAAAGCAGGCAGCCAGCACCACAAGGCCTGACCCTATCAACCGTGATAATGAGGAAAACTGGTCATAGGATGACTCCAGTGACTTAATTCTTTCATCATCAAAAAGGTGACTGCAAATCAACAATTTCATTTTTCTGGCATGAAAAACAGCTTACTAGGTAAGATCCACCACTAAATTTTGTCCTTCCTCCTGCCCCCAAGACTTAAAAACTTTATGAAGGGACATAACTTTTTATATTTCTATTTTATAGTCATCAATCTTACTAAAACTTAGGAAAATGATTAAATATAATACCTAGTGTCCTAATTTTTCATAATAAGTTAGAAATAGAACTGGTCAATTTAAGTGTTTATAGTCAAATTCCCTTTTAGAATTAAAAAACAAAGGACTAGGGACATAGTTCAGTGGTGAAGTACTTGTCTGCATACCCAAGGCACTGGGTTCAATTCATACATACATGCATATACAAAAAGGACATTCGGAATTGAAAAGCAAAACTTCCCACCATTCCTCATGGCAATAACCTTAAATTACAAAATAAACATCAATGTGGTACATTGGCTACAAAAATATAGAGCTCATTATTCATAATTGTGAAATTGTGCACAAATAGGACACACCGAGCACTGGGGTTGAAAAAAAGGCAGAAATAATTGGCACCACACACATAACAGTAGAGCAAAGACTCAGTGCTTCAAAATAAGGAGATACTCCCATAGGAGACAGTATGGCCTCCTGAGTCTACCAAGATGGTGGGGATCTGCCAAATTAGGAACATGAGGTGCTACAGCATTTATAATTGTCAACCTCTACCTGGTCTTTGCATAGGTGACCAGTAAGAAAGTGATTTTTTTTTAAAGCCCATCCAGGTGATGGTTCTTTTTCTTCCTACTATGAGGCAGCCTTAGAGCAAAGCCCCAAAGTTTAAAAAGAAAAGGTGGGGGGGCTTCAAATACAACTACATAAGTGCATCCTAAATAGGAAGTTATGCAGGTTTTACACGTATTTAAGGAAACATCTATTTTCACAAGTATGGAGCTAGACTGAGAACTGGTGCTAGTCTTTGGGGAGCAGGTAGTCTAGTTGTATAGAGGGGTATGTATTTACACTCTGGAACTACCTGGAAGATGCACCTCATACTGGTAGGGATCTCTCAAAGGGTACCAGACTGGGGTGCAAGCACCACCCACCACTGTCCTGCTGAAGATCCTCTGAGACAGTGACCAGGGAAACATACTACTGGAGATCACCATGGATGTTTTGGTGAGAAAGTGAGATAGGTCCCAGTGATAACCCAGTAGACTGTGAAATGGCATCACTCTAAGTGGGGAGGAGGAAGGGAGGGAAAAGGTGAAGATAAGCCATGGAGGTTTGGAGGAGCTTCTCTCTCTAGAGGCACAGACACGAGAAGCATAGAGCAGGACTAGGAACTGAGACGGGTCCACAGAATGTGTGCAGACTGTATTTGATTTGGGTGGAAATTTTCTTTTCTTTTGGCCTATAAATGCTGTCATATATCATATGCTTTTAATTTTTTAAATTCACATAAAATTCATAGTTTTAACCACTTCAACTGACATAATTTTCAGTGGCTTTTAATCTACTCACAATGTTGCATAACTTATAAAAACTCTATGCTGTAATTCCCTTTAGTTGCCCCAAACCTTCAATAATGTCTGTTATTTGCACTGGGTAGGGAAGCCCAAAAACAAGCCAGAAAAGGGAAGTGTGCCTCTGTCCCACAGTCACCCCTGCACTGACGACAGACTTTCCAGGGAGGAGAAATATAGCTTGGGAGTTCCAGGCCAAACCCATCTAGAAACAACAGGAGTGGAAAGAAAAGTGCACAGCTGGAAGGACTGCTGACAGCAGAGGACCCAGGACAGAGGAGAGACAACCCCTCTCCTAAACGTGCTGGCTGCTGGCTGGGAGTGGGGATGGGGTGGGAAGGAAGAAGCAGGTACTTCATGTGACGCCAGTGGACCCCAGGTAGACCAAAAGGAATGTTTTGACCTGTAGCAGAATCTGAAATTATGCAGAGGGAAATTAAGCCCTAAGATGTCTGTGCACAGTTGATTCTTGTTATCTGTGGCAACTGTGTTCCATAAAATCACCAAAACACTGTCTACTGCACACTAACCTTGCCTAGGGCAAAAACAAGGCTAGGTTACTGTGAGCCCCTGTTCTTAACATTTCTGTTCATAACACTTATGTATTATCCATCGATTTTACGTGTTTCTGTTTAAAAGAGAATTTATATATATTGTTGCTTCCCTAACTTTGAGCTCAGGGCCAAGTTAGGGAAGTTACGATTCATGCCAGAATGAAATGTACCGAAGCAGCACACATACTCTCTCTAAAAAAGGCACATCACAGCCTTCCTGCCCCTGGGAACACTAGAAAGCATTTCCACAATACGCGGGGGGAGGGCATTTAAAACAGAGAAATCACCAACAAGAGCACAAAAATTAGAATAATATGGCACAAGCCTCCCTTTTACAGCATGGGAACCAAAACAAGGCAAAGCTCTCCTTGTTCAATGTCTGCTGGGGACGTTCACCTCAGGTGATTTGAATTTCTTCATCACTAAGCACATCTGTAAATGATGAGGAAAGTGCCTTGAGTGTTAATATTGAGTTACCAATCAATTTTAGCAAGGAGAATTTGCAAACATGGAATCTGCAAATAAAGAAGATAGTAATCCACCTGCCATTATACACAAAATGCTTCTGTATCCATGGAATTGATAAATCCACGGGTTTATTAAGTCATTTAGTCATAGATAATATAATCATATGGTTGACAGATTAATTAACTCTGTGGGGGGGGGGCGGGGGGAGAGGGGAGGAGAGGGAGGGAGAGAAACTCGGGATTTAACCTAGGGGCACTCTACTTCTGAACTGCAATCCCAGCCCTGTTTATTTTTGCTTTGAGAAAGGATCTAAGTTGCCAAGGCTGGCCTTGAACTTGCCATCCACTTGCCTCGGGCTTCCCAGTTGCTGGGTTTACAGGTGTGCACCACTGCACTGGGTAAATAAACCGTTAATGTTTACCATAAACATGTTTTCATATCCAGTGTTTTATCATGTCAAACATATTGCCTTGCCATCAGACAAGTCATGGTGTAGCAGAATCAGAGAAACTAACACTTGAGATCCTAATTTCCATGTTTGTAAAGGAAGAGGCAGTGTATCCAGCTGTATCCATCTACAAGATTGCTTTGAGGATTAAATGTGATAATGCATGTGAAAGCACTTTGTAAATATTTTTCCACTAGGTTTCATACCTTTTTATTAATGAGATAAGTGATAAATGACAAGCTTACTTACCTGTACCCAAATATAGCTATCCACTGCTTTTAGAACCTTCACATTGTTAACAGGGTGGATTTCAACCAGCAAAGTTAAGCACTTTGATCCTACAGAGAAAAGAAGGCTTTTAGAAGTAAATATTAGAATATCATATTATATTTTCCAAAGCAAGTAGGGAGAGGAATTCCTGGTAAATCCTATTACACCACACAAAGCAATTTTCCCATCATCATAAAGTCCCTTGAGGTGACATAAACTGTAATTCCATCCCATTTCCACTCTCCAGGGATAATGTGTGACTCCAGGACCCCCAAAGAGCAATCACTGTGCCAAATGACCTGCCTTCTACATTCTTGACACTGTAAGGAGGCTGCATTGTATTATGAGGACCAAAGGATGCTCAAAAAAATGCAAATGTCAAAAGGAAGTTTTTGAGCGTTCCTGTAAACAGCAACAGACACCAGGGGGAAAGCATCACATCTGAAATACAAGTGGTTTTTGAAACAGAAGATGATGTCATTTTGAACCCTCACCAGCAATGGATGCCAGTGCCTCACAAACTGGGTTCCAATGGCCTCATCTCTCCGCAAATTATTGTGATTCTAAGATTTGCAATATAGGTACTTCTGAGTTTTGAAAATGTAACGGTGTTTCCTATTGCATTAAGCCGTTCCTTAAAGAAAAGAAATCTTCTTAAAGTTCACTTTTACCCTTTGTCACCCAAAGTGAATTTCAGGGGTAGCTTAGTACCTAGCATTTGTAAGGCTCTGGGTTTGATCCCCAGCATGGAGGCGATGGTGGGGAGTGAGCTCCAAAACAGAGAAAACATCACAAGGCAATATGCTCAAGGCAAGGAACAAGCTCCCATCCATTCCTCAGCCATTTCGAACATAGCTTCACAGGTCCCCTAGGTTTCTAAGTCTAAATAAACACATCTCAGTGTCACTTCAATTTTGCAGCACAATGGCAAACATTGTGTATGAAAGTATAAAGATATTTCTGATGCACAAACATGTTTATGGCTGACAGCACCTATCAGTAGGACAGGCTGGTTTCCCTCAGGAACGGTGATAATGGCCCACTTAGGGCCTCAGTGTCACATCTGAGCGAATGTCATAAAACACAATGATTAGGAGGAAGTCCGTGGGCACAGGCTGGAAGGGGTTTACCACAGATACCCAAATTTAGGTCAGAGATCCCCCTCCTCCACTACTAACCCTCAGAAAACAAAGTGTTGCCTTGTATTGAGTGCTTAAGTCTCTAATAAAGATCAGGTGCTCTCACAAGGATTTTATTTTGAATAATGTACAATCTGGGAACAGTACAATAGCCTGAAAATCAATACCAATTTTCAATATTTAAGAAAGTAACATGACAGCACTGATTTTTAAAAAAGGTAAAGAATGTGAAACAATTTCTGGGATATGGCTTAACAATGAAGGATGGACCGTTCTATTAACATGTCTCTTAAAGACCACTTGAAAAACCAAGAGAGCAATGAGTTATCTAACTGTAGACTAAAAATCAAATGTTTGGGCAGGGGATGGTGTCACATGCCTGTAATCCCAGTGGCTCAGGAGGCTGAGGCAGGAGAATCACTAGTTCAAAGCCAGCCTCAGCAAAAGCAAAGTGCTAAGCAACTCAGTGAGACCCTGTCTCTAAATAAAATACAAAATAGGGCTGGGGATGTGGCTCAGTGGTTGAGTGCCCCCGAGTTCAATCCTTGATAACCCCCCAAAAAATGTTTAATGAAAAAGAAAAATACTTATAGCTCAGGATAAAAATTCTAGTGACAGGTTTGTACACCAATTCAACAGGGTTGTATTCCACATAATTGGGACAGAGGCAAAGGTAAACAGGCTTAGAAATCTGCTGGATGATTTAAAAAATGGTTCCAGGAATAATAAAGAAATTGATGTCAAAGAATTTCACAAAAAGAAAAAAACAAAATAGAAATGTTCTATGAAAGGGGAGAGTGGGGTGGAGGCAAATTTCCCTATCAATATTTTAATGTGTAACTAAATTATTAAATAGGATAAACAACATTTAACTATTTTATCTCTTGCAATAAAAGTTAATGTATTCCAACTTGGGGGAAAAATTGGGGTGGGGAGACTGACCAAACTTTCTCACTGGAAAAATAATCAACTCATATTTGGCCTTTTTAGTATGAATTTATACTCAAATAAGATAATCAGCTAAATTTTCTTATCTTCAAAATGAGATGATCTTCAAGAAAAGAAGTATTTCTAATTTTCTCCTTCTTCAGTGAAGCCCAGACATTTAGTTATATAACTGCTATAATTTTAAGAGCAAATCTTTGCAAACAGGAATTTCCCTCAGTAGCATACCATGTGCTTTCACAGTGGAGCCGAAAACATTCTGGATTAGAATTCTGGAGACATCATTCCTAATCTTGGCTCTGCCACTAACATAATATACTTTTCAACATATCACCCAAGTTTTTCTAGGCCATAATACCTTGTTATTAAAATAAAAGACTACAGAAACAGATTATTTCTATAATCACTCTCAGTCATAAAAATCCTATGATTTCATGAAGTGCTAAACTTGTATTAAGAATGTAGGAAAATCAAGTGGGGCATAGAGACGCACCTGTAATCCCAGCAGTTTGGGAGGCTGAGGCAGAAGGACCGTGAGTTTAAAGCTAGCCTTGGCAAAAGCAAGGTGCTAAGCAACTCAGTGAGACCCTATCTCTAAATAAAATATAAAATAGGTCTGGGGATGTAGCTCAGCAGCCAAGTGTTCCCTGAAACCACCCCGCCCCCACAAAAAAAAATATAAAAAAATCAAAATATCAGTGGAGCCTGGGAGGATATCACCAAAGGGGAACTTGCAACCAGGCAGGATATGGATGTCCCAGGAAGAGACACAGCAAGATTAAAGTACAGGGACAGGCATGACATGGGAGGGAAGAAGGTGGCGGAAGAACCTGGTCTGATGCAAGAGATGGTATATCTCAAAAGTTGGTGACAAGGTTGGGAGAGTTGGAGGAGCTCTGGCTAGTGCGGCTCCTGAACTGAACCACACTTTGAAGCTCTTCACTGGCCCTAACACTGAATGGATCTCCAGGAGTCAGTGGCAGTGGGGCCCCAACACATGTGGTCACCCCAGTTGCTGCTTGCTGGCAGCACTGTGGCAAACGCAACTCCACAGGGGACAGTGTGGAGGACAGCCTGGACCTGGTTTCCCAGGAAAAGCCATTTTCTAAATAAAACACTAATTCTGTGTGGTCACAGCCAAGGAGAGAAGCACTGTTGATAAAAACTGCATTGTAAAACATGTGGATCAAAGAACTCTGAAAAAAATGTTAGTTTGTCTCTTTTGCAATGAAAAAACAAATCTCATTTTAAGTGACTGTTAAGTAACACCTTGTAGCAAACTGTGTGTGTGTGTATGTGTGTGTGTGTGTCTAATCAAATGGCTTACAAGATTATTTATGGAAAGGTTAAGTCTTTCCAAAATATCCATCCAAAGGACAAAACATTAGACTCTAAAATGCTTTTTGGTTACATCATTTCTGAAATCTTAACAAAATGAAACCTTCCTATGATGAACACTGATGACTTATATCTCCACCCCCAAACTCTCAGCTGAGCTTCGGACTTGTTCAAATTCCTACCTCACTTCTCTACCATGATGTCTGTGAGGCATGTCGAACTGAGTGTGCTTGCAGGGCACCTCAGAATTACTCATTCTAGGGATGGAAACAGGGAACAATTAGTCCCATTTAGTTCATTGATACTGAGTTGCCCTACTGTGCATCACTTCCAACCATACTTCCTGGCTGAATAAGTATAGGCAATAAAGAGATTTTCCCAAAGGCCCCAGGCAGAAAGTAAGAAGTAGGCAGAGCAACTAAGGTAAGGCACTGTCAAATTACACCTAGACAGAGCTGGTTCTCACCTCAGTGGCCAGCATAAAAGGTAAGCTAATTAAAGCTATGAAATACCCAATGCAATAACTAACAATATTCATTCTAATGTTTTTAAAGATACAAGCAGATAATCTCACTATAGGTGCAAGCTTAAAAGACTGAGCAAGAAAATCTGCATATAATTTACTGTTTTATCAAATAAAATTTTAAATTTGATCTGAAAGGACATTTTATAGCATAGTCACTAAAGATTATTGTTCTGTACAACAATTATGCGTAGATGAACATCAAGTAAAAGATACAGTTGCAGCTGGGTTTAACAGAATAAAGTATGTCGAAGGCTAAAAGGAATGAGGCACAACAAGAACTGGGAGATACAGGAAGCAAATCTAAGGTTGTGTATAGATGCCCAGTCTCACCATCTCAAGAAACCCAAGCAGTGAAGCCTTTCCTTTCTCGGACAAAGGGGTTTATTAGCCCAGGAGATAGAGGCCAGATCCTGTTTTTTTGCAGACCCTTGTTTTAGGGGTCAAGATACCAATGTTCAAGATCACATTTTGCTTAAGTTAGTTCAGTTCTATCTCCTCCGAAGTGAGCTTTGCACCTAATTTTAAGAGGACCAGAGAGTTCTGGGGAACTATCAAAAGGAGGTACCGAAGCAGGTTCTCAGTGTATCAAGGCAAGGGGAGGCAAGGGCAATGAATACAACGAGATGTCAGGGAAAGCTCCGGCCCACCAACACCTGCCATAAGCTATTATGCTGAGCACTCCAAGTAGGACCCGTCCAGACTGAACTCTGGTCTCCTTGCCTCTCAAAGCTGCCTCTGGGCGGGGAACATGTGTCATGAGAAACCCAGGATTCTTCATAGGCCTCATATGGAAAAACAGGTCTAAAGGGTTTTTCCATCAGATGCTGAGTGGGAACTAAGCTAACAAAGAAGAAATTTAAATGCCAAACAAATAGACCAGATGGAAAGCACCTGGGATCAGAACAGTGCGGGATTGATACGTGATCCACTAGACCAGAGGTGGAATGGTGGTAGCCCACATGCTTGCTCCAGCCCACAGGTGGTGGTTATTGCCTGGGCAGGATTTTTTAAAAAACTTGAACCAACTTTTACATACATATATATTACATAAAGGTCCCGACTTCTCTTAAATTGAAAAGCTGACCCTGCTGGACTTACAGTCCCACAGGACAATGAAAAGTTAAAGCTGAGTAGTGGCTTCCCCTGTAAAGTCTCCCATGGGGGATCTACACCACATCTCTATAGCTCTTGAACTCCCTCCCACCCCCTATAAAAGAGAAGAAATATTTTCCAGTTTCTATGTTAAAATGGAAACAAGACACTATTTTTCTTATTTACTTACCATAGACATTTGCATTGTATCCCCAGCACGATGCCTAGTGTCTCACCCACAGAAATTACTCAATACTGTTGAGTTATGGACAGATGGATGACATAAAATGTTAGATTAAAAAGGTGAGGGTTACATGACTAATAAAGTACTAAGTGGGCCTTGGCAAATGAGAAATTTTTTTTTGTTGTTGTGTATTGGTAGGCTTTTCACAATGTGCTAGGTAAAAGTCATTACCTAATCAGGAATTTTTTAAATGGTATTTGGGACTTCCCCAAACTTTTTTTTTTTTTCCTGACAGCTCTGGCCATAGGATTCTAGTGTCATATCAGCCTCAGTCTTCAGGTGATATTTATCACCTTAATACTTTTGCTATTTACTGTTTGATTATTTTTTGGACCTTCATGCTTACTTGAAAAATTAAATAAGTCTTAAAATCTTGATCACGCTTAAATCATCACTGCCTTTTTATTCAAAGACAAAGCTTTTTCTAAAGATGCTTGGAAAGACAAAGCTTTTTCTAAAGATGCTTGGCATTTGACTTAGTTCAATAAATCATCTACCATATATCAAGAAAAGCATAGTTTCATTACCTGGTTGTAGCTCATTCCTTCTACCTTCTTCAGTAGATTTAACTAAACTTGCAGCTAATGGAAAAAGGAAAAAAAAATCCATTAGCAATTGATACATGTAGTATCTTATTAAAGTTTACCATTTTATACCTGAAGTAAACGAGTGTTTAAAGGCTTTGTTATGGAACATTAAGGTAGAATGCAAAGGATTCTTTTTTGTAGGTCTACTCTGCAGATTCTTAATTTCCAAAATAATTTCCCAAGAACATTTCTTTCCCAGACCTATAGTTGTAGAATAATCAAATATCCTAAAATCCAATACTTTAAAACTTTTAAAAGATGTAGTTAGTTCTTGATATGTAGCAACAAGAAAGATTGACTTACCAAGTAAAGTTTTCTCCCTGTTGACAGAGCAACTGACAACTTGCAAGTCTTTCTCAAAGGTATACAGATGCTATTAAAACAAAAGTTTTCCTTTTTAATTTGAAGTTTTATATCAAATAACAATGGTACAAAAAAATCCCACTAGGCTTTGTATCAAGTATTATGGTGAAATATTTCACTAAAGAATACTCAATGAACTAGTTTATCCATGCTGAGATATTGTGCATTATTTTAAAGACAAGTTTGCTATTGTAGGCCATATTTGGCACTGAAACTTAGCCATGAGATAACCAAACACAGTGGGTAAGCACACAGACATTGGAGCCAAACTAGTCCCATGTTCAAATTGTAACTGTCACTTGGAAGCTGTGTGACTCTGGACAAATTATTCAATCTATCCCCCCATCAATAACTATCTCATATGTTGCTAGGAGGATCAAGAGAAAGAACAAATGAAGTCTTTAGTATAATGTGTGCCACACATAATAAGTACTCAAATGTTGGTATGGTAATTATTGAATAAAGTTTTAATCAAATACCCAACTGACCATGATATCGTTAGTTATGTCTCGGGGACTAGCACAAGTGTATCTCATATTTAGAGAATTAGCAAATAAGTTGTCTGTAATCTTTTTTCTTATTGCTGTTTGAATTGTTCAAAATATCAGAAGACTCCATTTCCTGAAATATTAAAGGAAATGAAAACAGTCACACAGAAGGAGGGTGTAATGTGCAGATTGAGGAACTGGAGACAACTGCAGTTCATTAAGCAAACTCCTTTCAAGTTTACCCAGAAGATAAGGGAACAATGGAGAGTCTCAGACCTCAGGAGAGAACGGGCTGAGGGAAGTAGTGAATGGCAGAAGTAGTTAGAAGGTAATTAGTACTTGCAGGCTGAACACACTAGACTGAGTGGCCAAAAGTTGTGAAAAATACTGGGGAAGTCAGGAAACAGGAAAGATGAACTGAATTCCTGGAATACATTTTGGTTTTCTTTGACTCTTGCTCCAAGGGATTCTAATGTATAAGAAAAGAAGGATCATGTCTACATTTAGTTTTTTAATGTTTTATTCTTTTAACTATAAAACAACACATGAACATAGTCTCAGTGTTTAAAAGATGAAAACACTACAAAGTCAGTCAAAATCTTTCATATACTAGTTAATCCCAACTCCCATCCAAAAGGGAGCATGTTTATAATTTGCTCTGTAGACTTCTAAATCTTTTAAAATAATTTTAATATATTATGTCCTCACAGTTCATAGCTCTAAGTTTTTTAAAACATAAATGGAAGGTATTATCCTTACAACTTGCTTTTTTCATGTAAAAATATGTTTTGGAGAGACTTCTGTGACAGTATACATTTATAGACTTCTTAACCCTTTAATGGTTATATTGATGTCCCAAGAACTTACTGTTGGCCCCTTAGTTTACCGCCAGCTTTAAGGTATAATGATCCAATGTACTTTTATATATATCTTTGTAAGCACATACAAGTATTTCTGTAGAATCATACCTCAAAGTAGAATTTGTAGGTCAAAATGTATGCAAGTATTGAATTCTTCCATTATGAGCATCAAAAACTCTCCCCTAACCTAGCTTATGCAAAAAGGCAACTACATAGTGGCTCATGGAATTGAATAATGTAGGGCATATGGCTTCAGCATTAGCTCGATCTAAAGCTGGAAATAACCATTCTTTCTGTTATCTGGGTTAAATACAATTTTAGCATCCATGCAATGACATTCCATGTTCTATTCCTCAGAGCCACAGTAGTCCCAACCTCATTCATCCCTCACCACACCCAATGGAAGGGTCCATGTCCAAATTCCCAAAGTCTATTATACAGTTATAGTCAACCAGCTTATGTCATATTCACTCCTGTATGCACTAAAAAGGTAGGTCTGCCTAAAACAGAGAGGAAGTAGAAGGTACAGAGGGTGAAGAAGAAAAGGTTTGGGAATCTGCCTACATATGTATAACTTATTGTTTTCCATTTGGCATGGCAAAGAGAGAGATCATTCAATCAAAACTTGAGAGATCAAGACCAAGGTAGAGTAGACACACTTTCCCCTATTTTTCCCACTGTAGGGATAAAAATACTGGACATTATATCCAGAAGAAACCTAAGACCAAAAAGTAGAGAAAAGAAAGCTGGAGGTGTAGCTCAGTAGTAGAGCACTTGCCTAACACTGCAAAAGGAGGAGGAGGAGAAAGAAGGCAGCCACAAATTCTCTAGGGACCTCAGGTCCCAAAGAATAAGAGCTGCCAGTTTTTGCATCTCATATCCTAAACAGGAAACTAAAGAAAAGAACACAACAGAACTGCTGACAGGAACAGACAGAAACACACACCCATTATCTCCAGCCAAAGAAACCAGAAAGGGGGAACCTTGCCTGGCAGAAAAGTTCTAGACTATACCAAATACCATGGGGGAAATGCAATCCTGCCCCTACTTCTACCAGCAAAGGCTGAGTGGGGAGACCAAATTCCCACCTTTACCCAGCTGTAACAAGGCACCACTCTCACTCTTGCCATATTTCGATCAGAAAAGATCAAATGGGAAATAAAGACTTGGACTGGGGGTATAGCTCAGATGGTAGAGTGCTTGCCTGTCTTTCATGCACAAGGTCCTGGGTTCAATCCCCAGCACCAAAAAAAAAAAAAAAAAAAAAAAAAAGAAGAAGAAAAAGAAGGAAATAAAGACTTTTATCCCCACCTGATAGAAGTGAGCCTCCAAGACCTTCATGACCACGAGTGTCATGTGGGAATTCTGTACTTCTTCCCAGACCTAGCACTAAGAAAGTGCACTTTCCCCTTCTTCATTGAGTGGTGTCAGAAGTGGCTGAATGGCAAGTCAAAATTTTTACTACCACCCAGTGACAATGAGGCCTCCACCTACCTACCTATCACTCCCTGATCTCCTGCTGTGATATCAGTAGAGGCCTAGAAGGCAGCCTGAAATCCCGCCTCTGTCAACTGGGTGTCAAAGGAGGCCAAGTGAGGAATCTGGACTTCCACCCCTACCTAGGCGCAGTGAGGTTGTAACCCTCATTCTTCAACAAGAACACTTTCAGAGGAGATACAGAAAATTTCAATAAGATCTGGATTCTCATACATAATACTTAAAATAGCTGAGACACAATGGAAAACCATGCACAATGCCAAGAACAAGGAAGTTTTTTTTCTCATTCAATTTGAAAATAAGAATAAGCATCAAGATGATGGAGGTACTGGAATTCTCTAACAAAAATTTTAAAGCAGACATCATTAAAATGCCATAATATCTCAGTAGATACATATAACATACTAGCAGAAAGTACAGGAGAATTGGTGAACTTAAAAAATATAACACCACAAATCACCTAATCTGAACAACAGACAGAACTATGGAAAAAAGGAACAGAACCATATCTGTGAGATTAAAAAGACTAAAAACAAACAAACAAACAAAAAAAGGCCTAACAATCATGCAATTAGAGTCCATAAAAGAGAAAAAAGGTGGGAATTTTTAAAGTATTTGAAGAAATAATGACTGGTCATACTACAGTGATAAAGCCACATCAATGTTTATAGCAGCTCAATTCACATAGCTAAGCTATGGATCCAACCTAGGTGTCCTTCAATAAATGAATGGATAGAGAAAATGTATGCATATGCAATGGATTATTACTCAGCCATAAAAAAGAATGACTTTGCTGGTAAATGGATGAATATGGAGACTATCATGCTAAGTGAAATAAGCCAATCCCCCAAAAAACAAAGGCTAAACATTCTGATATATAGATGCTAACACATAATTAGTGGGGGAGGGAAGAACAGAAGTTCATTGGAATGAAGGGGAATGAAGGGAGGTGGGGGAATGGAAATAGGAAAGACACAGAAATTATCAGATATAACTTTCCTATGTTCATATATGAATACACCACCAGTGAAACTCTACATCATGTACAATCAAAAGAATGGGATCCCAATTAAAACAAGTTATACTCTATGTATATATGTCAAAATACACTGTCATATATCTAAAACAAACAGATAAAAAAAGTTAAAAGAAAGAAAAAAGAAATAATGGCTGGTGACTGAAAACGTCCCCAGTTGAGCAAAAGACAGCAGATTCAAGAAGCAAATCCCAAACAGGAACAATCCAAACAAATACAGAGACATACAAATCAATCTTCAGAAAATAAAAGGACAAAGAAAAATATTTTTGAAGCAATTAGAAAACAAAAATGACAACTTGAGTATAAGAGAAAATCAATTTGAAAGTCAACAGATTTCTCAAGAGAAACTATGGAGGACAGAAGGAAATGACACATTTTTCAAGAACTGAAGGAAAAGAATTGTCATGCTGTATTCTATTATTAGAAAAATCATCCTTTAGGAATCAAAACAGACATTCTCAAAAGAAGGAAAATTGTGAGAATCTGTCATTGCCATACCCACCCTATGATAATAGCTAAACAAGTTCTTGAAAGAGAAAGGAAATTATTTTTGAAAGGAATCCTAGAACACTGGGAAAGAAGAATAAGAAGTGCAAAAAATATGGGTAAAACATAATTGACTTTCCTTCCCTTGTGTTTTCTAAATTATGGTTGACAATAATGGCAAAAAGTGTATCATCTGATGTAGATCTTTAAAAATGTAGAAAAGGAATGAAGACAACTTTAAATGCAGGACACTGAATGAACTTAATAGGAGATAAGGTAAAATGTCACATTTCATTCAAACTGGTAAAAAGTCAACAGCTGCAGATATTCATGGTATTGAACAGTTCTGTATCTTGATTGCAGTGGCAATTTCAGGAATCTACACATAGATCTACACATAAAATGACATAAAACTTGCTGGGCGCAGTGGTGCACACCTGTAATCCCAGCAGCTCAGGAGGCTGAGGCAGAAGGACTGTGGGTTCAAAGCCAGCCTCAGCAACTTAGTGAGGCACTAAGCAACTCAGTGAGACCCTGTCTCTAAATAAAATACAAAATAGGGCTGGGGATGTGGCTCAGTGGTTGAGTGCCCCTGAGTTCCATTCCCAGTAACTCCCCCCTGCCAAAAAAAAAAATCCAAATGGCATAAAACTATATATGCACATTCTACCAATGTCAATTTCCTATTAACATTATATTAATTCATATTAATATTTAATGGTATACCTAACTTCACAACATCCAATAATTGGAGAAAACTGGGTGAATTGTATGTGAGACATAATTTAGGGGGGAAAAATAAAAGAAAAAAAAAGCTTTAAGATTCAGACACCAAGATCTAGCACCACAAAAAAAGCACCATCTCTCTCTTGGCAGCACACAGTACTTAAAATTTTAAAGCCCAGTTAGGCTTGGCATCCAAATTCATTCTCTCAATAAAACCAAAGGGCCAATAAAGAATATGTAGGTTGTAAGACTTTTGAGTGTATAGAAGGGATGGGGAAAGAGAGCTGTGCTGTTTTAACGTGGCTCCCAAAGTTCATGTGTAAGGAAACTTAACCCACTGCAATGTGTTGGGAGGTGAAACCTAATAAAAGATCATTAGGCTTTGCCCTCTGCAACGGATTAGTTTTGTCATCTCCAGAGAGGGGTTATCCATCACTGAGTGGGTCTGTGATAATAGTAAGCTCAGTCCCTGCTACCCTTTCACTATCACCCTTCCACCTTCTGTCATCAAATGATGTAGCAAGAAGACCCTTACAAGATGTGGGTACTCAATCTTGGACTTCCCAGCATCCAGAAATGTAAGAACTAAACCTCTGTTCTTTATAACTTCCAAATCCCATTCTGTTATAGCAGCAGAAAATGGACTAAGATAGCAATTAGGTATAGGAGCAAGACTTGCCTATTTATAAAAGCTAGCTAAATTTCCCATGAATTTCTTCTTTAACTGATTTATTTTCTGAAATCATCTTCATATTTTGAAATCCAATGAAGTGCTGTCACTGGAAAACATTTGAAAAGCAGCCACTGTGGAGGGAACCTATCACTGTCAATTCAGTAAAAAAATCCTTCACTGAATTACTATGGCTTATAAGGCAGTAAGCTGAATGCAGTGCAGATGAAACACATTGGTATGCAAAATGCTCCTCACTTTTTTGGCGCTCATAGCCTTAGCAGAGAGAAATATGTCCACAAAAGATAGATAGTAATACCTACCACTATGGAAGACTATGATGTCTTCTCTCTAGCCATCTTCTTAGAATTTGTACCACATAGAAATTAAGTTAAGAATTACACTAACATGTGAGATTTTTTAAATCTGCATCTATCCCAAGACTGTATATTGTAACAAGATTTGTCTTGGTCAATACTGGGTCTCCAGAAGCTCAGAGAAGAAAACACTGAATGTATATTTGTTGGGTCAGTGAATAAATGAATGAGTAAATGAATGTGTGTGAATAAAAGGAGTGGAGGAAGGAGAAAGACCAGAGAATTAACAAAGCAAAATATTGGCAGTCTAAAGAGTAAGGTGACTGGGAGAAATTTGAAAATGACCACACAGAATATTTAACTTCAAGGATGTCTAACATCCTTAATTAATTAAACCCTAAATTGCTTTTATATAGGCCCCAAACAACTCCCTTTTCACACACACACACACACACACACACACACACAATTAGACAAAGCTTATCTACATCAACCAAGGCCTTATATGAGTACTTTAGAAGAAAATTAAGGAAAAAGGTAATGAAGGCTTTGCCAAGTTCCAAACCCTGAATTGTTGAAAAGGAGCAAGAAGCAAGACAAGGGATGGTTGAGCACAAGCAGAACTCAGAGCCAGAGGTCATTATGAAATGACCTGGAGCACACAAGTCCTGGAAGGGCACTGGATTTCCTAATTCCTTATAGGATGTTGGAAAGCTGGTTTAGGCCAATTTTACTTAAACTCAAAGGACTAAGACTTCATATAACATTTGATTCAGGAGGAGTCCTTATTATTTTTTTAAGATAATGGGGCCAAAGCCAGCCATACTGGCACACTCCTGTAATTCCAATGACTCAGAAGCCTGTGGATCACAAGTTCAAGGCCAGCTTCAGCAATTTAGCCAGACCTGTCTAGAGATATAGCTCCATCCACAGTACAAAAACAAACAACAAAAAGATAATGGGGCCAAGAAGTAGTTTTTAAAAAATGAGCAGAGAAGGCAGGCAAAGAAAAATTTTATAAAATGAAGTGGGAATTTTTATCTAGAAAACAAACAGTGGAGGCAAAGAAAACTCTAAAAGCAGTAAACAATAAGTAAGCTATGATTTATGTGATGTTTACCTGATTTTTTCTGGTTTGGCAATCATATAATCCAAAGACAATATTTCTCTCATCATCCTAAAAAAAGAAAAATAACCAGATGTTTATTAAATGTCATAGTTTAGGAAGTTAGGCTAACACTAGTTTTAAGACAAACCTGCAATAATTCAATCTTAGCAATTAAAAACTCTAAAGGAGGATTTTTTTTTTCCCAAGAGTGCAGAAGAGAGAAGGTCACTTTCCTGGCTGCTCCGTGGCACAAAACCAAGAAGGCGTAGACAGGCAGCTTCTCAGCAAGGCAGCTTTTCAGCAAACAAAGTGAGTGAACAAAGGTGGGGTGCGGGGGGGACTTTACTGGAATTTAAAACTAGACATTCAAATTAGACTAGGAATTCAGGAGGGTGGATATACTAAAATGAGGAAGAAATCCCTAGCAGTACAGCTGCTTCTGGGCTGGAAACACCAGCCAGAGTTGTCCCTCTATGAGCAAAGTGGAGGGATAAGGGAATTAAAGGAACCCACATTTCTAGAAGGCCTGAGGCATTAAGAGATCAAGGATATTGCCCGACTAAACTGAAAGGCATGCTGCACAATACCCTTGTTCTGGGAAAAAACTGCCATCTCTCCTGGTGACATGTGGAGGACAAAGGAAGGAACCAGTTTGCAGCATCAGCGTGGAGGCCAGCAGCTGAGGGAAGCAATTCATGGCAAACCTGAGTTTGTCCCAAAACACAGACCCAGTAAACATACACTACATGACATAGAGTGTGCTTAAGTGACCAGGAGAAAAATCAAACAAGAAGAGTGGTTTACACTGGGACAACTGGTGTCATGGAAACCCACCGGGCTCTACCCCCACCTCCAATCCAGCTGCTTGCAGGACCGGCTGGGAGAGAATTCAGAAGGGAAGGGGTGGGAGAGACCGAGTTTGGAGACTAAACCCAGGACAACGAAGCATGGGCTTTTGAAAGTGATTTAGAGAACTAAGAATTGGCTCCTCTACCACACAAGTGGAACCCAGGAGAGATCCCTGGGAAATAGTCTTCCAATGTAGACCAGCAATTACTGGGCACTATAGGTGAGCTGATTTTGAATCTTCGAACCAATTGGCATTCACCAAAGAGCCTGGAGCCCACCTAAGCCCAAACCCTGCCTCCAGGAATTCTACCTACAGGATTACCTCTTTCACTCGAGCAATCCAAAGGTAGAGCATTATATTCCAGACGACCCCACCTAAAACTACTAAGAATCTTTTGAACTCCAAAGGAAAGAATTCTTAACTTTTCATGGAGATGTTTTTTCCTTTTTCTTTTGTGTTTAATCGTGTTTAATGGTACATGGACATTTATACATACTCATATTTTTTTTTCCTAATTTCTAGCATTTTTGAAGCCAGTTAATGTTCATGGATCATTTTTTTTAGAGAATTTTTTAATATTTATTTTTTAGTTTTTGGCGGACATAACATCTTTATTTGTATGTGGTGCTGAGGATCGAACCCGGGCCGCACGCATGCCAGGCAAGCGCGCTACCGCTTGAGCCACATCTCCAGCCCATGGATCAATTTTTTAAGGACTCAGATGTTTGATTAGTATATTATAGTTTTGTTTTTATATTCTTAATTTTTTTAAATGTTTACTTTATATATATTCTCTCTTACCTGTTTCCCTTGATTCTATTGTTCTCTTTTCTTCCACTAACAGCCAATCTCTACTGGTCTCTCTTTCACTCTTTAATTTTTTATTCTATCTTCTCTCCTCCTCACCCATAATCATACTTCCTATATCTCTTCTGTTTCCTCCCTGTTCACCATTCAAATTTTTAAAATCTTTTGCAATCTTATTGTTTTTATTGTAGGCAATAAATGACCATATAATTTCTGTGTATTGTAATAATTAGCATTGTAGATATCATAGTAGAAACTATTTGGTTTAATGCTGTATATTGTTTGCATTGGTTGTTTTTATTTTTTGGCTCCTTCTAAACAATGAGGTACTGGAAACCTTCAGGGACGCTAGAAGTTCACAAGGTAGAAACTCTATTGCCTCAAATACATATTGTTAGATGGGTAGACATACAAACAATATGAAAAAGTAAGGGAACAAATCACCCTGAACAAACCAATATACTCCAATAACAGTATCCATCAACATCACAGTGGAAGAAATGTCAGAGAAGTACATAGTTTAACTGATATGGAAATAGAAGATGGTATAAGTAGTGAAATCAGAGAGAAAACACAGGAAGTGAAAGATCACTTCAATAAAGAGAGATTTTTAAAAAAAGGAAAAAATCCTCAACATAAAAAAAAAATCAATAACAAAATTAAAAATTCAATTGAAAGCATCACCAATAGACTAGATCACTTGTAAGACAGAGTTTCAGGCAATGAAGACAAAATATATAATCCTAAAAACAAAGTTTATCATGGAGAAAAGATATTAATAGACCATTAACAACTTCCAAGAAATATGGGATAACCTGAAAAGACCAAATTTAAGATTTATTGGGATAGATGTAGGCTCAGAGATACAAAGGAAATGGACTCACTATCTTTTTAATGAAATAATATCAGAAAATTTCCCAAACATTAAAAATGAAATGTAAGATCAAATACAGGAGGCTTACAGGACCTCAAATATACAAAATTACAACAGACCCACACCAAGGCACATTATTAAGAAAATGCCTAACATACAGAATAAGGATAGAATTTTAAAGGCTGCCAGAGAACAAAAGGTAACATTTAGAGGGAAACCAATCTGAATCTCAGCTGATCTCTCAACCCAGACCCTCAAAGCTAGGAGGTTTTGGAATAATATATATCAAGCTCTAAAAGAAAAATTGATGCCAGCCAAGAATACCATACCCAGCCAGGTGTGGTGGTGCATGTCTCTCATCCCAGCAGCTCAGGAGGCTGAGGCAGGAGGATCACGAGTTCAAAGCTAGCCTCAGCAAAAGCAAGGCACTAAGCAACTCAGGAAGACCCTGTCTCTCAATAAAATACAAAATAGTGCTGGGGATGTGGCTCGGTGGTCAAGTGCCTGTGAGTTCAATTCCTGCTACCTCCCTCCCCCAAGAAAAATACTATACCCAACAAAATTAAGCTTCAGAATCAACAATGAAATAAAAAACTTCCATGATAAACAAAAGTTAAAAGAGTTCACAACTAGAAAGCCTACACTAGAACACATACTCAACAAGATATTTCATGAAGAATAAATGAAAAATAAAAGTGAAAAACAGCAGGGCTGGGGTTGTGGCTCAGTGGTAGAGTGCTTGCCTAGCATGTGTAAGGCACTGGGTTTGATTCTCAACACCACATAAAAATAAATAAAGGTCCAACAACAACTAATAAAATTTTTTTTAAAAATTTGAAAACCAGCAAAGGAAGGAACTTACACTAAAATAAGAGCAAATCAATGGAGAAAGCAATTCAAATTAAAAATCAGAAATAAGTCAAAATGACAGGGAATAAAAATCATATCTTAATAACATGGACTATAAATGGCCTGAACTCATCACGAAAAGAAATAGACTGGCAGATTGGATTAAAAAGCAAGACCCAACAATATGTTATTTCCAAGAGACACCTTATAAGCCAAGATATCCACAGACTGAAAGTAAAAGGATGGGAAAAAACATATTTACATGGATCATGTAAACAAGCAGGGGTTTCTAGCCTCATATCAGATAAAGTGGACTTCACACCAAAGTTAATCAGAAGGGACAAAGAAGGACATTTCATACTGCTTAAGGGAATTATACATCAAAAATACATAACAGTCACAAATATTTATGCCCCAAACAACGGAGCATCTATGTATATCAAACAAACCCTTCTCAATTTCAAGAATCAAATAGACCACAACATAATAATACTGGGTGACTTTAACACACCTCTCTCACTACTGGATAGATCCTTCAAACAAAAACTAAATAAAGAAGCTATAGAACTAAAAAAATTCAATTTATAATTTATACTTAACAGACATATATATTTCATCCATCAATGACAAAATACATTTTTTTCCTCAGCAGCACATGGATCCTTCTCTAAAAATAAACCATATCTTAGGCCATAAAACAACTCTCAGTAAATATAAAATAGAGATAATACCTTGCATTTTATCAGAACATAATGGAATGAAATTTAAAATCAATTGTAAAATAAAAAATGGAAGCTACTCTAACACCTGGATACTAAATAACATGCTACTGAATGACCAATGGATAGCAGAAGAAATCAGGGATGAAATAAAAAAGTACTTAGAGGTAAATGAGAATAGCAATACAACATATCAAAATCTCTGGGATACTATGGAGGCAGTGCTAAGAGAAAAGTTCATTGCATTGAGCTCATTCATTAAAAGAATAGAAAAGTCAACATCACTATAGTGATGTGGCCACATTCATAGCAGCTGGAGGCTATCGTGCTAAATGAAATAAGCCAATCCACAAATACCAAAGGCATCTGACACGCAGATGCTGACTCACAACAGGTTGGGGGGCAGGAGAGGTTTAACCAGATTGGACAGGGGAGAATGGGGGGAATGAAGGGAAGGGAGGAGGAATTGGAATGGGAAAGACAGTAGAATGAATTGGACATAACTTTCCTATGTTCATATATGAATACACAACCAATGTAACCTCACATCATGTACAACCACAATAATGGGAAATTATACCCCATGTATGTAAAATACGTCAAAATACATTCTACTGTAATTTTTAAAAAAGCTAAAGGAAGCTTGCTGTGCATATCAGATAGGGGCCAGGCCTGATTCAGCTGGCCATTTGGGCTCAAAGAGTTCAGAGGATCTTTATAGGACTGAGCATGGAGAAAGAGTCAATCATTTTGTATCTCCAGTAGTATCTTTAAGAGAATATTAGTGATGGCTGGGCATGATGTCACATGTCTAAAATCCCTGATACTCAGCTGCGACAGAAGGATGGCAAGTTGAAGGCCATCCTGGGAAACTCAGCAAGATCCCGACTCAAAAAATGAAAAGGGTTGGGGATATAGCTTAGTGGTAGAGCACTCCTGGGCTCAACCCCCAAAATCACCAAAAAAAAAAAAGAATCTATATAATAGATAATGGGATTGGCTTGAATAAATCCATGATATTCTTATGAATACAATTTTTTGAATCATACAATTTTTAAATACACTATCCTTAGATACAACTTAACATTTTTAAACAAAAGAAAGTACAATGATATAATTTTCAAAGCAAACTATGAGAATTTTTCTTCCATATGTCCCTAGTAAAGTTATCAGTAAAATTAAATTTTCCTCAGAACACTTAACATTGGAAACACATTGTCTAATAATGCCTCACAAGTCCTAGAATATCTAGTTCTGAATAGACAAAAATTAAATTTAACGTATCTTCAAAGACAAAAAATTAACAGTTGTCAAGTTTAAACATCTTGACATTTCCCTCTAGAAATTGAAATTGTTCTTTTACTCAAATTTTTTGAGCTTCAAATATGCACATTTTAACTTATTTTAAAAAGAAACATTTCTTAAGACTTCAAATCACTCTATTCAATATCACACAAAAAAACAAGGGCCAGAGGTTAAATACCAAGTCTTATCCATTACCCTTCTATACAGGAGAGAATTTTCATAAAATAACATAAATGGTTAAAATAGTAAAATGTGTTGCATTTACTTTACCACAATAAAAAGAGAACATATACATACCTTATAGTTATAAATAATATTTCCATTTCTTTCAACATTTAGTACACGTAAGCTCTCATAATTTGTTTCTAAAACATCTGAAATAAAATAATAGCCAGTTAATATTTAAGATGTTTAAATACGTAGCTAACATTAGTGAAAGAAGTACAAAGCATACATGCTGAGGATTCCATTATACCCAGATTAAAAGCAAGCAAATCCAATCTCACTTACTGGAAGTCAGAACAACAGTGACCTTTCAGGAAGAAGAAAGGAGGCAGAGATGGCATCACCCAAGGGAGGCCTTCTAAGGTGTTGATAAGTTTGCACGCCTTGGGCACACAGATAAGCTCACCTTTTAATCTCTTACCGAGCTGCACACTTTATACTGTATACTTGCCTGTATGTGTCACACCTCAATAAATTTTCTGTATCTACTAGTTTTTGCTTTATATATTTTGAGGCTACATTATTAGGAACAAATTCGGAACTGGTATAGCTTCCTGGTGAATTAACTTGTCAGGCACACAGCTGAGCTTCCATGCATCTCAGTTGTTAAATGGGATAAAAAAAAAATGACAGTCAAGCCCTTAATCATTATGATGCTATATCCAGGGGCTAAACAGAAAAAGTGCCAACTTCTTTGTTGCATTTCCATATGGAAAGGTGACGTATGGTGAAGGATCAGGTGCATTAGCAGAGATGTGGGAATTTCTCCCTGTTGAGGGAGCAACATGGACACAGAAATAGAAGGGAGATGGGGAGTCATTTGGATTCTGAGTCTACTGACAAAAAGTTATCAAAGTTCCCCTCTTCCCCTTGTGGGAAAGTCTTTGCTGAAGACCCCCAAAAAAGAGGCCTCCCAATGAAGACACTCAGATCTAGCAAGGCATCTATGAACGGGTATGGCCAGGGCCCAGGCCTGTCTGCAACTCTCTTGGCAACTGCACTTCCTTGGCTATATGTCCAGTCTGATTTAGGAAGGATAGCTTTCCTGTGAAGACTTCCAGGTAAAGCCTTCCTTGTGATTGCACGTATTCAGGTCTGAAAATTCACACAGAAGTTTTGAACCAGGAGCTGAACTAGTCAACCACTTCAATATAAAAATGTATTTTTATCTAATAATTCTTTACTCCAAAGTCTATTTTGCCTTATATTAATATACTACGTCAGCTTTCTTCAGAGTATTGTTTATATGAGATAGCTTGTTCTAGCCTTTCATTAATGTTCCTGTGCCCTTATAAGTTATATATTTTATAAGCAGTATCTACTCATGATCCCATCTGACAGCTTTAATCTTCATTTGGAATATGTAGTCCACTTTCATTTACCATAATTACCGACATATTGGGTTTATTTTACTATTTGCTTTCCGTGACTCACTTGTTTTACTCTTTCATTCTTCTTGATTAATCAGTTTATTATTTCATTTTCCTATTTCCTCATTAATTTCATATTCTTTTGCTATTCTTTTACTTGTTATCCTAACAATTTTGAGCATTCTCAATATTATGTTTTAATGTTATATGGTACCACAAAATGGAAGTGAAATTTCATAAACTGTTAATGGGATATAAGTTGAAAAACTGTTAGCAAAGTCTATTGAGGCTCAACATATGTGACTCAGCAATTACACTTTAAGTGAATATATGTGTGAAAAATATATATATATACACACACACATATACACATACATATATTCAACAGAAGTACATATGTTCAGCAAAAGACACATGTTTATAGTACTATGGTTCAGAATAGCCAAAGTAAAAATGCCAAGTATCCTTCAAGAAAGAATAATTGTTATGTCCAATGTTATATCTCACAATTAGAATTAATTAGAATGAATTAGCCTATAACAATATAAAAACTGAGAAAAATCAGATTCCACCCCAACCACTCATAAAAATAATAAACTATATGATTCAATTTATATACAGACTTCAAAAACAGGTAAAACTATAAAACTAATCTATGTTGCTGTATAAATGACAGCTGAAGGGAGACATGAAGGGTCCCCATGGTGCTAACATTCATTCTTGCACCAAATGCTAGTTATGTGAGCTTCACTCAGAAAAGTAAATGAGCTGTGCATTTGATTTTGTACTTTTCTGTACAAAAGACATTTTGAAGGACAGACTCTTTACACAAATATTTACAACTGGCCATCTTCTAAAACTTTTAGGATAGCCCTAATTGTACAGTTAAAGGATTCAAACATTAGTGGATACAATGTTAATAACTTGTTGGGTAGAAATGTGTATTTTCAACTTCCTCAAAGCTATCCAAAAAACTAAATTGCTTCACTCATTTTTTTTCTATACATTAATACTGCTTTTAGATGTTAAATTATGTTGATGACAAATTATAATATTCAGATAAGACATGCAAAACATTCTATAACTCAGAGCAAAATTTTGTTTATATTCCCGATTTAAAGGGGGAGAAAAAGAAGGTAATAAGGATAACTGGTAAGGACATCTGCACTGAGCTAGGAAGCATTTAGAGAGGGGAAGTATAGTTTCATTAACTTCAATCATCCTGAGAGCCCTTCTCCACCCCTCATAAGCAGCAGCTGTGTGGATCTCCTAGGGGTGGGGCAAAGAGAGAGGGAAGTTTATATATGTTTTTTTTTCAACATATATTGAACTATCATACATGCTTTACACTAATTTTAATATAAGGACAACCATTTGGCCTCTTAGCAGTAAAATAATTGAATCATATTCTGCTAAATATTACTTCCAAATTCAGAGTTTTTGTTTCTAGAACATCCACACCATGTATACTGTGCTGCAGGCCCATTGTGCGATAACACAGTTGAGTTCCAGTGAGAAGACACTTGATCAACATAGACAAAGTGGGGCAGACTCATCTTAAATCCAAAATAGGTAAGCAGAATGATGCGCAAAGTGTCCTGTATCAAGCTTACAATAGGAAAATGGTTAATTATTTAAAAATCCTTTTAAAGTAGATTTTGTAAACATCTAAGGAGAATTTTAGTGAGTTCCTTTTGATTCTACACATGACTCAAAACCTCTGGAATGCAATGTGTCAATATCTTGAGAAGTATTTTTTTTTCTTTCAAGATTATGAGGTTGCTGGGACAGACTTGCACAAAAGCACACTTAAAAGGTTTCAACCAAGATAAGAAACTCCTGATAAAAAGTCTTGGTGAGAAAAATCAAGGGTTTTTTGTTTGTTTGTTTGTTTGTTTGTTTTAATAAACACACCTATTTTCAAATTACTAAAAAAAAAATCAACAAATGACATCTTTATTCCATTAAACCATTAACTCTCAACTCTGGCTAAGACAGAAACATCAGAGAAGTTCTTAAAGAAACATTGATACCCCACCCCCAGGCTCTAACCAAGATATTTTCATTTTATTGGGCTAGTGTGTGTTTATTCCCTGCGTGATTCTAATAGAATCCTGGATTGCAAACCAATAAACTATATATTTATGTTACATTTTAAGCAACATTAGACAGAAAAACTAGGACCAAAATATTATGTAACTATGGTAGAGAGGTTTGGAAAAAAAATGCCTTCATGGAGTACATTAAATAATGCCAACCCTGCAGTGAAGTGCATGGCTCACATCTCTAGAATATTTAAAACAGATTTGGCAATGTTAGAAATCTAGAGACCAATGTATCACCACACGCCATTAACCCACTGGCCCTTCCTTCCTAGATTAGTTTGCTCATGTTTTAAACACACCCTATTTTTTTAAAGGGGTGTTCAATAACCTCTTTGCTTATTCATTATGACTCTTCTCTCAGTAGTTCATTTCTGGAAAGTCCAGAAGAGGAAGTTTAGCAATTTCAAATGAGGAAATGTGATTTTATAGTTCAATGTATTCAGTGCTCACAAAGAAAAAATGTAGCATTGATAGATGAGATACTTACATAAGTAAACCTACCAAACGTCGGTACCTAAATATCCAAGGTATTGGGAAGTCATAACTCATGTAAAACAGAAGCTGGCTTTCTAAGTAGTCTCATCCATTTCAACTTATTCTTTGCCAAAAGTGATTTCACTTTACAGGAAGGCGCATCACAAATGCATAAATTTTAACCGAAACTGTTATACGAGACAAAAATAAAAGTATTTTTGTCTTTACAACAACAATACTTGGGGCAGAGGGGAGTCATGAAGGCTCACACAAAAATCAGAATTAATTACAAATACCTTAGATCAAGAAGCAATGAAATAGCCAGGTATAGTGGTGCATACCTGTAATCCCAGCAGCTTGATAGGCTGAAGAACTGGGGATGTTGCTCAGTGGTTAAGTGCCCCTGGGTTCAATCCCCAGTAACCCCCGCCCCCCCAAAAAAATAGTACTATGCCTACAACACCCTTATTCTGTAAATAATCCCCATAAGTCCTCAGGCTCAATATGACCAGATATTATAACTCCAAAATTGATGAAGTAAATATCATGTAACTTATATTTTATATTGTGAATGAGAAAAAGAATAGTGCACTTAATTAAAAAGCAATAAAAAGAGATGAGAATTAGGAGATGAGCGAAGTACAGGAGGGAAAAGTAAATAGGAAAGACAGTGGCAAGAGAACTGTGAAGGAAATGAAAACAATGAAACTAAGGCAAATCCTGGTCTCAAAAATCAATCTGGGGGTTCACAAGAGGCAACAGAAAAGCTTACTCTTAAAACCTAGCAAAACACATTACTTTCCTGGCAAGGATGAATTATAAAAAAAAAATGTTTTGATCTAGTATATCATAAATCCAGAACTAATCAGAGAAAATACACACAAAAGAAGATCACATTCCCCAAGAATTATATACAGATTATCCCTGATTTATATTTCAATTTATGACTTTTTACTTTACAATGGTGTCAAAGCAATATAAATCCAGTAAAACTATACTCTGAATTTTGATGTTTTCCTGAGCTAGCATTATGCAATAGGATACTCTTGCAATGCTGGGCAGCAGGAGCAAATCACAGCCACATCACGAGGGTAAACAACCTATACCCTACATGAACTGTGTTGCCAAGCCAGAATGTTCAATAGGTCAAGCATGTTAAATGCATTTTCAATTTACTGTTTTCAACTTATGATAGATTTATGACAGAACCCCATCATAAATCTAGAAACATTTGTCTATATGAAATTTAAACCTTGGAAAATTTATATTAGACCTCAGCATCTTAAAGATTAGATCCCTCCCAACAAGGAATTAGGCACTGGACCCAAAAAAATATGCAAAAGGTATTTTATTTATACCAGAAATGGTTAGAAGATGTGATACTTTTAAATGTGCCATTTATGGAGATCAACAAAGAAATAACCTAGGAATAATTTAGCAAGAAGTGTGTGGAACCTTCATGAAGAAAATTCAAAGACTTGAGAGTCACTTAAAAAGATCTAAATAAGTAAGCTATCTTTGTTCATAATTGGAATGATTCAATATTGTAGAAATGCCAATTCTCCAAGCTGTATAGAGACTTTACAATTCAAAATTAATGTTTTAAATGTCTTCATGACTTTTGACTATGGAGAAAATTCTTTAATTAAAAGCACAAATCAAAGAAAAAGACTCATAAATTAAGATCTCCCTTTTGAGCATATTGACATACACCTGTAATCCCATCTTCTTGGGAGGCTGAGGCAGGAGGGTTGCAAGTTCAAGGCCAGCCTGGGCAATTTATTTTTTTATTTTTTTATTTTTAATTTTTATTGTTAGTTGTTCAAAACATTACATAGTTCTTGACATATCATATTTCACACTTTGATTCAAGTGGGTTATGAACTCCCATTTTTACCCCATATACAGATTGCAGAATCACATCGGTTACACAGGCTGAGGCAGGAGGGTTGCAAGTTCAAGGCCAGCCCGGGCAATTTAGACCCTTTCTAATAATAAATAAAAAGTCTGAGATTGTAGCTCAATAATAGAGCACTTGCTTAGTAAGTGTGAAGCCCTGGGTTCAGATTAGTATTCTCTGTTGATCAAAGGCACCATCACTCACACACACATACACACAAACAACTAACAGATGGAGGGAAAATATTTGCAGCACAATCACGAACAAAGAACTAGAATCCAGAATACATTTAAAACCACCTAAAAATAATTTTTAAAAAAATCAAATAGAAAGATGAACATTTCATAGAAAACTCAAATAGTCAATAGTGATGCTCAACCGCAGAATGCAATGAAATAACATTTAGACCAAGTATAATTAAAAAAATTAAATCTGAAATTTTAAATCAATTTAAAATTTACATTAAGAACTTGTCAGGATATAGTGTCAGAAAAACTTCTGAAACATAAAATTAGGGTGTTCATGAGTATAATACTTTGGAAAACAATTTGATAATACCCAGGAAAGGTGAAAATGGGCATAGCTTATGACTTGACCACTCCACTCTTAGATACACATCCTAGATTAACTAGAAACTTTGTGGATCAGAGATGGGCACAGGGTGGTCAGTAAATGCATTGACTGTAATGACAAATCCAGAAACCTCCAAAATGTCACCCTCAAAAAATGAATAAGTAAAAGCTGGGCTTCCTAGCAAGCACTTAGACAGTTCAGTATGTGTTTACATGCTGTCCTTAGTAGGTTGGGATTATGACCTGCAGAAGGAAGGATTAGGAAGCAGAGGGAGAGACTGAGCTGCCAGCAGGCCAGGGGCAATAACTTCCAATGATCCCCCTGCGGGGGATCTCTAGAACTGAAACACATTGCCAGAGTTATCCCAGGTGGAGTCAAAATGGACGGCGCTTTATACCCACCTTAATCATTCACTGGATGTGGGCCACACTCAAAAGAGAATGAAGCTAGGGGAGGCATCCCTGAGGGAAGTGACCATACTCACAACACCCAGGAGAGGCCCTTCCTTGCAAGGACAATCTAAGGGCTACATCTCCATGTCCACCATGTTTTTATATATTCATACAACACTGTATAGTGGTGAAAAATAATGCCCTAAAGATAGACAGTCAACTTGACTAAATCTCACAATACTAGGAAGAGGAAAAATCAAAAAGAAAACAGTTTTCATTTTCTTGAAGTTCACAGACAAAAAAAAAAATTGAAACTACAAATATTAAAAAAAAACTATGATATAAATGTTTAAGTAATTGTTACCTCTGGGGGCAGTGGTAAGAGATGGAGAAATAGGATTAGATAGAAACACACAAGAGTCTTCAAAAGTCCTGAAATTGTTCTGTTTGTAAGCTGCATGGCGAGTACATGGGGTTTTAAAAATTATTATTTCTTTTATATAATTGTTTTGATTTGAGAATCTTTTCTCATTTTATTTCAGAGAGATATCATTTTTCCAAAGTTCAACCCAGAACCAGTAACAGATGCAGTAACTAAGTCTATTCTCCTAACTCTTTGACTCTGTTGACTAAAATATTGTAGTCACCAAATTCCCATGGCTGATTTAGCCCAACTCAGATGAGTGAAAGATACAAGGAAGCCAAAACTCCTACTAAGGCACACACAGCTTTTCAATTACAACATATCTTACTGAAACATAAGACTGTGGCATTTCACACTTCACCTAACTTCTCATTTGCAGTCACTTGTCATTTAACAAAATAAGGTGAGAGTTCAGAAAGAAAGGGCTACTTTATACTGGAAAACAGATTTGGAACTGCCTGTTGTATCTCAAAAAGTTAAAATCTTCAAAAAGAAAAAAAAACATTTTAGATATTCAGGAGACTTTTAAAATTATCTTCTTCCTGCCCACAAAATGCAAAGCATTACTAATAATAACACTGCCAGCAAACTCAAACCAGAAACTACATAAACATGACTCCTTACTTGGAACTAACAACATGCCAAAACAAGGAGATCTACAAACAATTGTGCTAAGGCATGAAAGAATGTAAAGATATGTTGTAGCAAACAAAAACTTTAACCAGAGTTTAGGAAAAAGGAGTTGTAGATATGGGTAATTTGACATCCCTCCCCCACAAAATATACTTGCAGTCTAGTGTTTAAGGAAAAACAAAAAGAGGCAAAGCATAGTTAGCAGTGGTAGCATAGGACTGTAATCCCAGAGATGCTGAAGCAGGAAGATCACAAGTTCCAGGCCAGCCTCAGCAACTAGAGCCTCAACAATTTAGTGAAACTCTGTCTCAAAATAAAAATTAAAAAGGACTGGGGATGTAGCTCTAGCTCTGAGGTAAAGCAGACTTAGTTTCAATCCCAACATATTTCCCCTCTCTCTCTCTCTCTCTCTCTCTCTCTCTCTCTCTCTCTCTCTCTGACGTGGACAGCTCTTACATACAAAGCAACATTGATTTGAAGCTGAATTCTGAATTTAAACCCCAAGATGCTCCATTATTTACAAGCAAACTTTCCTCCCCACGTTTTTTTACTGGTGCATTATAGTTGTCCCAAATGATAGGATTTGTATAAGCAAACAAGGAAAAAAAAAAAAAACTGGGAAATCACAGACCTCCTCTTTAAAGAGGATCAATGCTAGGAAGGATCAAAAGTCATTTTTCACGCTGTCACCAAAATCAAAAGACATTTGTGGCCTCAACTGTTGGGAATGTTTGTGCCAATTCACACTGAGGAAGCTAGGCCAGAAGGGGAGCATCACTTGTCTCACTTGGCTTGGCGCCTGCACAGGTGGTAATGCTGGATGGCCGGTAGAAAGGGCTAGCAACAGCAGGCTCCAAGTTCACTCCTCTCTGACAGAAAGCAAACTGCCGACCCCTCTCACTTCACATCCAGAGTGGCATGTCCCCTAAGTCACCTAACTCTGTTGAGAAATGCGACTCGAAAAATTACGAACTTTTATTAAAAAGAAAAAAAAAAAAGGAAATCAGTTCCCTTTAAGGAAAATCAATGCCGATAAGCCTTTTTTAAAAAAAATCACACTTGGGGACAAACTGGGCAACAGTTGGATAGCTCTGTGCTGGTTTTCTTGGTAGCCACAATTCATCTTTCCGTTCTCAAAACACACAACTTGCAGGAGCATCGGATCTTGGCAGAGCCCCCACTCAGCTGATGGGAGCCTTTCTGGGCAGGTGAATGCTAATGGCAGAGAGAGGAGCCTCTCTCGCTCCCGCAGCTGCTCCTCCACACCCTCCCCCCGAAGTGATAACGCCGAGGGTACCACCAGTGTCCCCGGTCTGTCTGCGAAGGGTGAACTACTGCGGGCACCAAGCAAGTCAGACGCTAGGGACAGAGGCAGCGCACCCCAGCTGCGACCTCGCGGAGGCCCTGCGCCTCCAGCTCCAGCCTTGCCCAGCGACTGGCGGCGAGAGTGGCAAAGCCAAAGACGCCGGAGCTCCAGGGAGGGAGGCTCACCCTTGCGCACCAACCTCCACAGGCTGGCGGAGCCTCGGGGTGCTCCCCGTCGGGCTAGTGCCCCTCACTCCACCGCAGCCCGGGAGCCCTCTGGGTACCAACGACTCCGACTCCACTCCCCCAGCGGTCCCCCGCCCGGGTGACTCGCCCCGGTCACCTTCTGCCCCAGGGGCCGCTGACGCCGCCCGCTGCGCCCGCAGCCACGGGAGCACGTCCTTCCGGAGATCGAAGTCAGCGACCAGACGGAGAGCCATCGCCCGCACGCGGCCCCGGGGCGGCTCTGGGGACCCGCGCCGCGGACATTCCTGGCCCTGGGTCACCACCTCGCCCTACCCCAGAGACCGCCCTCTTCTTCCTCTCCCCCGCCTCCCAGGCTGTCGGCTGCCGTCCGCTGCTTTCGGTTCTGGAGCGTCCCGGCCTGAGAAGCCCCGAGCACCGCCTCCTCCCGGCCAGCGGCCTGCACAGAGGAGGTCGGAGGCGCCGGGACCAGGCCCGCCCGGGCCACTAGCCCTCGGCGCGCACCCTCCGGGCGGAGGACAGAGAAGCGGAGATTTGGGGGGTTTGTAGGTCCTGCCCAGGTGGCTAAACCAAGAGTTTCCAAACGCTGCCGCACGTTGCTGTGGAGACTAGGCATTTTTCTACTTTAGCTCCAGGTGATTTCACTGAACAGCAAAGTTTGGAAACCACTAGGCTAGAGAGAACTGCGTCACCTGAGGAAGTTCAAGGTCGCCACTGTGGCAGGGGCAGCCAGGGTCTTGGATTTCTTTAATTCAGCTCAGGGTGATGGTGTTTTATTCGTGGTGTTTAGGTAATAAGTGGCAGCTGGAAGCATGTAAAGAACGTGAATTTTTTTAAAAGCCAAGTTCTTGCTAAGTTGCTGAGGCTGGCCAAAAACTTGGAATCTTCCTTTCTCGGCCTCCTGGTGTGATTCTATTTTAAAAGAGACACTGGATACCTGTTAAATGCTTAACACAAACAGGGTCTTCTTTGCCTGTTAATCCCTACACTGCACTAGTTTGAGGAAGCTGGATTGTCTAGATTGCCCTCTGAAGAGATTTATGTTTAAGAAGTGCTCTTATTTGTTCGGGAGCACCTGTCATCTTGGGCACCTTTCCACCCACACTTCCCTCTGCCTACAAACAAATCCCGTGTTACCATAATCTGGCCATCCTTTAGTTTTCTGTTGGTTTCAGCATGCAACATTGGTAAATTCAGTGGTCGCTGTACTCTTGGCCCTGTCAGACCCAATCCATCCTAAACATCAATGTCAGATTATTGCTTTCCCTAAAACTGAGTTAGCCTCATGTCTACATGCAAAAGACTGTAAATTACTGCCCCAGAATAAAGTGTCTTTCCACCCAGAACTTCAACTCCTAATTTACCTACTTCCCAGAAGTCCTCTGATTCCTCTCTCCTTCCTCCTAGCAAAATCTCCAGGTCTTTCCAGCCTAGCTCCACAGAACCTTCTCACAACTGCAGCCCACAGCAACCTTCCCAGAGCTAAACTCCTAGAGTGGTATAGGTAGAACACTTCATTTGACAATTATATAATGCCACGAACATTGAGTCTTAGAATAGCCCCTATGAAGAGCTAACAGCATTCTGAAGATGTTCAACAATTATGGAAGAATGAGCAAATAATAATAGACTAAAGAATTACTTTTTCATTTGTTTCTCAAAGTTGGAGTCTGAAAACTACCTGCACTGAAGTTATCTGAGGCACTATCTTACGATGCAGATTCCTGGTGTCTAGTCTAGACTAGGGCAAGGCCCAGAAATGTACATTTTAGCCAGAGCCTCAGTACCTTAGTCTTGCTATGATTCAAAAACTACTCAATAAATGTAAAATAATAATAATAGTAATAATAAAATCTAGAGACACATTTCTCCAGGGTGTTACTGGATGATCTCAGATAAAACTCCACTAACTTCCTATGGAAATCCTCCTGCTTGTCATTTTGCATGGAAGTTTAGAGAAATCTAATGCTAATATTAGCTATGAATAAAAGGATACACCTGGTGTAGTGGCACATGCCTGTAATTCCAGCAACTCAGGAGGCTGAAGCAGGAGGAGCACAAGTTTGAGGCCAACCTCAGCAACTTAGCAAGACCCTGTCTTAAAATGAAAAGGACTGGTGATATAGCTCAGCGATAGTGGGCCTCTGATTCAATCCCTGGTACCAATACATAAATAAATAAAAACTTAAAAGGGGACACTAAAGACATGAGAAGGTACTATTTCATACCAAATGCAACTCGAGGACTTTGTCAAACAGAAATGTCCTCACTTGCCAATTTTTTAAATTCGCTGTTTTCACTGGTTTTTGCAGTTAATTTCTATTTTTGTCAAGCAAGACCAATTTGATAGTCATGCAATAATGATATAGATTCTCTTTAAAATCAATTTAAGTTTAAAAAACTGTAAAGAAGTTCCAAAATAGTAGACAAGATAGCAGAAAGAGGGGCTCAGGTTGTGGCTCAGTGGTAGAGGGCTCACCTAACATGTATGAGGCATTGGATCCGATCCTCAGCACCACATAAAAAATAAATAAATAAAACAAAAGTATTGTGTCCATCTACAACAACAACAACAAAATCTTAAAAAAATAACAGAAAGATGTGACCCAGATCACAAAGATGCTATATGAGTGGCAGAACTTTGGAGATTAGAAAAGAGACTGATGAAGGATTACTTAACTAGCTTAAAGTTGGTGAAGGGTTAATAGAAATATGCTGATGGGATGTGTCAGCTCTAGTGAAGGCAAACTAGAGACTGTAATGACCTTAAAAGGCTGCCTTTTAGAGTCATGTAAGACTGGAACAGGCTTTTAGATGAAATAAAAAATTTCTGCTTTGGGGGAATTTTAAGAGTAAACCATCATCTTCCTTAAAATCAGACAAGAAAGAATTAAAGACTTAAAGATCATATAATCAAGGAAGGCCCTGCTGAAAAAGGTGTCTGGTTTGCATGGTACCAGGTCGTAGCTTCTGACTGCTGGTGTTGATGTTGGTCAGCATCAGCAGACAGATTAGAGGAAGCTTCAGTTACTTTCCAGCTGAGGTTTCTAAGTATTGAAATACCACAGATTGGGATGGAATTCTTGTACCACGTTGAGAAATCACCAAACTTGGATCTTACACTTTTCTTAAAATAGCACAGATTCTTTGTAAGTTCATCTTGAATTTTTAGATTTGAAGGAAATGGCTGGGTATGGTGGTGCATGCCCGTAATCTGAGCAATTTGGGAGGCTGAAACAGAAGGATCCCATGTTTGAGGCCAGCCTCAACAATGTAGTGAGACCCTGTCTCAAAAAGTTAAAAGGTCTGGGGATGTAGCTCAGTGGTAAATCACCCCTGGGTTTAATCCCCAGTACCACTAAATAAATAAATAAATAGACTTGAAGGAAATGAAAAGAATTTGGAAATGTGGATTAAGTGAACCATTTGTATGTGGAAGAGAGTTTATTTTACAAAGGTATTAAAATTTGAAGTTTCCCTCCACTCTCCTGACCATTCCTAGAAATGAAAAAAGCATAGTTTGATTTTTTTCCACTTTTTAAAAGTACATTTTTTAAAAGTTTTCTTTTTATATTCTTCCCACATATTTTTATTGGCTCATTATAGTTGTACATACTGATGAGATTATAGGTTTTTTTGTTTTTTTGTTTGTTTTTTAATTTTTTATTGTTGGTTGTTCAAAACATTACAAGATTCTGCAATCTGTGTATGGGGTGAAGGTGGGAGTTCATAACCCACTTGAATCAAAGTGTGGAATATGATATGTCAAGATTATAGTTTTTTAAAAGAAGTTAAAGAATAGCCTATTTAACAAAAATCTAACCCCAAAATTAACTGTAAGTGCCTAAGGACTAGAGATATTAGGTTTGAAATTTGTATTCAGTGGAGCAGTGAATGTCTAAAAAATATTTTTACTAACAAACTCATATGTTTTGAAATTGGAAGTGAATAGACTAAAAGGTAAACCCTGCTTTTGGAGACTATGGCTTTGAAATTGGGATAGCCAAGAATTTTTTCTTGTAATTAATAGAAATTACCCCAGAACCCATTAGAATCTAAATAGTACATGATAAGCAAGTTTCTTTTGCACTTTCCAGGAAATAATTGTTTTAAGCTTCGTAACAAAGATGCAACAGCATTTAGAGTGAGGTGTAAATATTGAGAATGCTACTTCCCTAGAGTAATTCATTTTTAATAGAAATATTTAATATATTTTTAAAGAAATAATTTTCATGTGGTAATCATTATGACTTCCCAAAGTCCATTTGCACCAAAGAGGTAGTAACAATTCTGGCCAGTGATTGATTTAGGAATGGACACATGCATCAGTTAGATCTATGTTTACCAGAAGTTAATAGAAACCCAAATTAACTGTAAATTAAACACAGAAGGTTTTATTGTCCCACCCATCTTGAGGGAGATAGTCCAAAGTTCAGGGGCAGGTTCCTGAAGTCATCAGGGACCCAAGCTTTTCCAGGATTTTGCTCCACCAGACCTTGAGTGTACCTTTGTCCTCATGCCCAAGGTGACTGCAAAAGCTTTAGCCATGGGGTTTGCATTCCAAAAGCGAAAATGGAAGAAGAGGGATAAAAGGAAAGCACTGCCTATCTTTTACGTATACTTCCCAAAAGTTCTACACTACATGTATACTTATATTTTATTGACCAGAATTCAGCCGTTAGCCAAATGTAGTTTCAAAGGAGGTAAAGAAATATACCTGACCGGTGATGTACTCAGACAAAAATCAGGACAATGTCATGAAATAAGATGAGGAAATGGTTACTGGGTCAGTGTCACATGCACGTAATCCCAGTGGCTTGGGAGGCTGAGGCAGGAGAATCTTGAGTTCAAAGCCAGCTTGAGCAAAAGTGAGGCGCTAAACAACTCAGTGAGACCCTATCTCTAAATAAAATACAAAATAGGGCCTGGGGTGTGGCTCATTGTGGCTCAGTGGTCGAGTGCCCCTGAGTTCAATCCCTGATACAAAAAAAAAAAAAAATGAGGAAAATGGATATTCTGAAGCAACAAAATATCTCTATTATGTGAGGAAACTCAATTTTGACTAAGGGGCAGTGAAGAAAACTCTGATGTGCTATTTCTGGGAGAGATTTCTCTATTTCTAAAAAAGAAGACATGGAAAAAGATGGTCCCTTTCTGTCTTTAAATATGTTGAGATCTGGATATGATTCCTAGAACTTCAGCCATCCTCAGACTAGACATCAACAACCAGACTGAAATAGTCGATCGATGGAGTCAGAGCTCAGAGAACAGCAGAAAAGAGGAACCCTGACATGTCATTGTTGGAGCCAGCCCTACTTTTGGCATTTTTAATAATAGAGATAAATTTCCCTATTGTTTAAACAACATTGAG